TGGATCCAAACTGTCCATCGCGCAGCAGGCTCAGCAGTTCTCAACGTGTCCAAGCGTCCGGTCCGCCCAGTCCGCCGCAGACCGAATACTAATCGCCGCTGGATCATCCTGTCCTGATCCCTGCCCTTCTCTACCCTCAGGTCCCTCGTACCCTCGTGCGCCACCAAATCTGAAAGCCCTTGCACATCATCGGGCCCACCTGCCTCGTTCCTTCGGCCTTGACCAACATCATCCCAGCTGGTTGCAGTTGAGCCGGTCGATGCTGCAACTCGGATCTTGGAACTAACACTCTTCCATCTCTTGAACAGCGACCCCCGCGTCATACCGTAACCATTACGGTCTCAACTCTCCAGCTCTCGTCGGCACGCCAACCCGGCAGCGTAGCGGAACTCGATATGCCTCCTTCATTACCATCATCCCTTCCCCCCTCCCGCAAGGCCTCCCTTCAGTTCATTCTTTCCCCGACAGGCCCGTCACCATCTTCGACCGACTCGTCCCCGCCGCAGACGTACGACTATGCCAGCCACCATGTCCGGAGGCCTAGCAGCACCAGTAGCAGTGGCAGCATGAGGGCTGGTGGTATGGTCCATGAAAAGCCTTGGGTCCCAGTTGATGATGGCCTGGGTAATCTCCTAATGTCAAAAAGGGTCAGTCCGGAAGAACTGTCGGCGTCAGTACGGTGGGGCCGGCCAACGACAGTGTTTTCTGCATGCACGTCGCACAGTATTAGGGAAAAGTCTGTAGCGGAATATAGTAACGCCCGTCAAAAGGCATTGTACAGCTTTTACGCTCCGCGCTCCGCTTGTCCGAGACCAGTGAGTGACCCCTGTCCGAGCAAAGTCGCAGAACTGCAGGCCGTGCGCAGGAAGAGAGGCGAGAGAGAGAGGGAGGGAAAGGGGAGGGCGGAAACAACGCTCCGCACCCTTGCGCTGCCGCGTTATGCGTTTTTGCGGACTAACCTAGCATTATGCGTAACCCCAAGTTTAAACCTGGGCTCGGCGTCGGTCGCCGATCCTTTGCGTGGAGAGGAAGAAGTCTGGAGCTAAGCAGATGAGCCACTGACAGTGCGCGATGCGACTGCCGAGGCTATCTGACAAGCCGCAATGAGGTCATGCATCCCACTACGGCCACCAACTGTGGCGGTCACTTCGCGGTTCAGTAGAGGGTGCTAAACGTGCGCGCATGCAATGGCGTACGCGGAACGATGCAGTCCGCGTGAGAAAATTTCCACAATAACTAGTTTTTCGGACAGGTTTGCTAGAATGACTAGTGCAATCGAGTAGAGCGCTCGTCAGGGTCGCTCAGGGTGGTGCAGGGTCGCCACGTGCAATAGGTTCCGCTCAGGCCACCAACAACGCGCTGCTCGCGATCGAGACCAGGTTGCTCACCATCCAGTGTCTCACCCACCCACCCTCACCATGACCGACGCCGAGCCCGCTCTCAGAGCCACTCTGGTGATACCTATCGAGGTCGGAACGCTCTTTCAGAGCAAGGAGAGGGCCGTTCTGGCCACGAACCTGCTCTCCGCTCAGTCTCCGACGGGTGCCGGCACCAGGTGGCGATCCGGGCCCACCCAGCTTGCAGCCACCTGCACCGAGAGGTTCCGGCGCACCAAGGGCCTGGACAAGGCCGCCGTCAACGCCCTGACGGACTTGTGCCCCTTCGAGGTCCGTTTCTATAGAAAGAACGCCGAGGTTCCGTACCGCTGCACCTATCTCGTACGACGTCATACCTGCACCACGACAGAACAGACCGCCCGCCATGGTCTCTCGCGCGCTAAGATGATGAGAGAGCTCGCCACCGCTGTCGCCGACCCCGCCCAGAGCTCCGTACGCCCTAAGGAGCTCACCCAGGCCATTGAGAGCCATTTCGGCCATTTCAAACCTCGCTACCACGCCAGTTGGAAGTGTACGACCGCTATGAGCGAGGGCCGCAAGGAGGACCACAATACGCAACGCCAGCAGTTGCCTGCCTACCTAGAGAGTCTCCGACAGGCAGATCCTGCAGCTAAGATCGAGCACAACGGCAACGGCAATGTCTTTATCAGCCCCTCCACTTCGCCACGAGTTGCAGCCCTGTGTAAACCTATCGTGGCCATCGATGCCTGTCATTCTAAGGGCCCGCACGAGTTCGTATTGCAGCTGGCTGTCTGCCAGGACGGCAACGCGCACCTCTGCATCATTGCCTGGGGTGTAACTCGAGCAGAAAGTGAGGATTCTTGGCGCTGGTTTCTGGCTCGGCTCCGGGACCATGTACCTCACCTGAACTCTCCTCTGCAGGTGTTCGTCTCAGACAGGATGCGCGGCATCCTCAACGGCCTAGAACACGAGTTACCGCTCGCGAAACACGTGTATTGCTGCCAGCACATGAAGTCGAACGTCCGCTCTAAGTGTGGCAAGAACGCGGCTGATTTCTTTTTCAACCTCGCTTACACCTTTTCTCGCGACCATTTCAACTCAATTTACGAGGCAAATCGGATTCAACAGCGACATGAACGGCCTCATAGATTACCTAGACCCCCTCCCCCGTGACCGCTGGGCCCGCGCTTGGGCTCCAGCGAGGTTTGGCATGACAACCTCCAACGCCGTCGAGCAGTGCAACGCCTGGCTGGACGGTTTACGCGACAAACCCATCGTTACGCTCTTCCACAGCCTGCGCGACAAGGTTATAGAGCACGCTGTCAAGAATAAACGCTCTGCCGACCAGCATCAGGGCCCTCTTACCCCTCGGGCGTACGAGCTCTTCAGTGATCAGCTCACCCTGGCCCGTGAGCGTGTTCGCTACACTCTGCTGTTGATGAGAGGGCCCCACATGCATGGCAAGGTGGGCTCGCCAGGCCGTACATGGTCTGAGAGGATCGTGACGGTCTGGCAGGAACCTGGTGGCCAGGTGATGTGCCAGTGCAACTGCGGTTTTCAGGCTGAATACCTGATCGTGTGCCGCCATGGCCTGGCTCTTCTCATGAAGGCCAGCGTCACGGTGGACGCCGAGCAGTGCGTTGCACCGTTTTGGACCACCAAGGGCTGGAGAGCGGTCTACGAGGTGTTTACACCCCTCCACGCGCTCTCCGGTGAGCTAGAGGCTGATCCTAAGCAACGGCTGCCTCGCCTGCGTGGTTCCGGTGCAGGGGCACGTAAAAAGAAGCGTGCTAAGCAAGGACAGCGCATGACAGCGTCCTCGCAGACGTTTAGAGCCCAGAACTAGTTCTAGAACCTATGCAACTCGAAGTGAAACATCGATCGCGAGCAACGGTGTTTTGATGGCGAGCAACTACATACGTATGTGCCCCGGCCACGTGGCGACCCTGCACCACCCTGAGCGACCCTGACGAGAGCGTTACTGCCTTAGTACTAGTCATTCTAGTAAACGCGTCCGAAAAACTAGTTATTCTAGAAATTTTCTCAGTCCGCGTAACGTTTGCTTTGTGCAATGTCAGGCGGGCTTGGGGCCCGGTATGCGAACAAGAGCCTGACCTCGATTTGACACGGCGCCGCGATCGATCGAAAGTGGAAAGGCAAGCGTACACGGCTCCCTGCAAACCTACTGGACACGGCACGTACAGACACATGGGGTGCATGATGATCTTTCCCCCCACTTGGGCACCTGACGAAACCGACATCGGCGCAGCGGGGAGTCCGTTTGTCCGCTGCGCGCAGATCTCGGCTGTCCTCGCCTGTTTGGCGGTCGCCGTGTCGCGGGCTCGCCGTGCACCGGCGGCGGCCTGGCAACATGGCGGTGGTGGGGGCTGGACTCGCCGCGCGGTGTCTGCTTTGATGGCGGCGCGCAGGCGCGTACGGTACATGCGCATTCGTCGTGCACATGCATTTGCAGCCCCCTGGGTCCTGAGGTCGGGCTGAAGGGGGGACCATGGAGACAAGTTGATCCTGACTTTCTGACTCAGGAGCGCAGGAGCTGCAGGACCACTTTCAGGAGCGACAGTGCGGGGTGACTACCACCAAAGCGAAGGAAGGATTGCGCCTTCGCCTCGGTCAACCTCAATCCCGGTCGGCACTCCAAACGGCAAACGCGCTTGGGCCGGTGGCCGTGTTGGTATCTTGATTATGTGCTGCTGCGCTTCGCAATCGGCCACAAAGGAGTGTAGGACCATGCGTTCGGGGCGCATTGGTGCACCGCGTGCTCAGGCTGCTCAGGCTGCCGATTCGGCATCGCTTGCAAAGCAGGGAGCACGCGGCGCCGACGCTTGGGCCAGACCTTTGTGCACCACATGCTCTCTCTCTCTCCAAAGGGCGGACAATGCACCATACTGCGTGCTGCGCGCTGCGCCGGGACGAAGGCCACGTCGGTCGGAGATCGTTTTGCACATCGACAAGGCCTGGAGGACAGAGTACGGCACTGTGATCGGTGGCTTCCTTACGCGGGCGCGGGTCAGATCTAGGAGTTGGTTCAAAAGTGCATTGCTTGCGTGCGTGCTGCCGCTCCGTTCGCGGCCTCGCGGCGCGGAGCAGGCGCAGAAAATGCACTGAGCGGCGGGCGGACGGTGCCTGATGAAAAGCCTTGGGTCCCAGTTGATGATGGCCTGGGTAATCTCCTAATGTCAAAAAGGGTCAGTCCGGAAGAACTGTCGGCGTCAGTACGGTGGGGCCGGCCAACGACAGTGTTTTCTGCATGCACGTCGCATTCCAGACGCCGCCGCCGCCGTGCCTTTCCTCCCAGGTCTGGCACCCTCCGTACCTCTGTGCCGCCGTGCCTCAAAGCCGACAGATCTGACGACGACAGGCCCCCCCCGATGACGGCGCACGGAAGCGCAAGCGAGACTCATCAAGATCACTGCGCCGGATCGTCGGACCGTATGGATCAATGGAAGCTCTGCAAGCAGAGTGCCGGGCGGGTCGATCAGACACATCCCTCTTAGTCATTTGCGGAATGCGGTCCGGGTTGTGCAGACACGCTCATGTTCGGTCGAGCCGGTGGCGTTTCGATGAAAGAGCACGGGGAGATGGGAAACAAGGAGACAGGGGAGGGATCGAGAGGGCCGAGAGGGATCGATGGCCGTTGAATGCCCAGCTGCCCAGGGCCGGGTGGATGTCCGGGAGGTTGTACATCCGGTGACCTTCTGCCAGGCGTGATTCGGATTCGGGATAAGCTTTGATCTGTATGGACACGGACGCTGGACACTGGTACACTGGCGGCGTCCCTCAGCGACAGCCAAGCTGCCAAGCCCTGCGCCGTGCGTCGGGCGCTGGGCTTGTCGTGAGACGAGAACGAGATAATGAACGCAACGGCATCCGATCACTTGCCTGCCATGCGTTGCTTGCAGGGGAAGACAGGGGCCGATCTGTCGCATGAGCGAGCACGGGCACTCCCCGACCCGATGGAGATGCATTCCCTGGGTCGCGGGTCATGACGCGATCGGTGGTTGTATGGATCATCCTGCGTAGTTCAATGCAGAGCCAAGAGAAGAAAGTGACAAGAAGCTAGGCTCAAGCAACTACTGGTGCGAGTTTCGGTTAAACAGGTGAGGAAATCGAGGAATGCTAATCTCGCCAGTGACGTCGCCACTGCTACTGGCGGCTGGGCAGTCCTGGGTACCTGGGCGGACCTGGGGGGACCTGAGGAGGCGCCGCAAATTGGCACGCGAGGCACCGTCCGCACCGTGATGTCTGGATGAGTTGAGAGCTTGAGATGGGGTGTAATCGCAGTAAGGTGCAAGGTGCAATCGCGCATTAGGGCATTAGGGCTGGTTAGGGATTAGGGTATGGCTTGATGCAAGACGGTGGACGTGTCTCGGGCGGAGAAGGGTGGGCGGCGGCAGGGATGGAGGGCAGACCAGTGCTAAAGCGAGCGAGCCGAGGACCGAGAGAACCGAGAACGAGATCTATACAGATCCAGGCACAGGATCTCGCGGTCATTGGGTTTGGCCCTGGGGAGGAAAGCGTATCTCTTTCTCTCTCTCTTGCTCTTCCTTCTGCAGACTGCCCGGGGGCCGTGAATGGAGAAACGGATGGTCAATGGCCTGATGGTCTCATTGTCCTACCCTGGCCCCATCTGCCTTGCCTGCCAGCTTGCCTTGCTTGTCTAGCTGCCTTCGCCCAAGCCTTCCCTTGAATTACACGGAGCCTCGGACCGAACCATCCGCACCTTAAGTGTGGCTGCAATGTACTGATCAATGGAGACCAGACCGGACAAAGAGCAGACCAGAGTCACCCGTCATCCGTTTCCCAGTCAAACGCGTCACCTCTTGCGCTAACTGCGCTATCTTCCCGCATCCATCGATGCAACCAAATACGCACCAGCGCATCAGAGGCACGGCAAACGCGGCGTCCACATCCGGCGGAACGACGCCCGCCGCCAGATCTCAACTCAACTCTACTGCACCTGGCGCACACGCTAGAGCCTGCGCGGATCGTGGCTTGCTGCCCGCCTGCACCCCAAGTGGGACCCGTCACCCACACAGCGAAACAGCGGGACAACGAAATATGCATAGCCTCGCTCGTTCAATTCTTCCTTGACGCATCTTTGTATCCCCCTTGCGTATTACGCAGGGCCCTGTCTACCGGGACCCCCAACAGATGACGGAAGAGGCGCAGCGTGATGTACTTCTGTTTAGCATCACAGCAACCATACGTGCATGCCTGCAGCGCGATACGAAGCAGCTAGTCCTGGATCAGACGCAGCTGTTTCTCGTCAGGGGCACGCTGGCGCCGGCGGCACTTGCTCACGAACCTGAGAGTCGCCCGCGATGGAGGGGCGGGTGAGATGATGCCGTTACGACGTGGTTGAACCCACGCAGACCGAAGGACGCAAAAGAATATCTGATTAGAGATACAGGACGCACGACACCGCCATGCAAGGAACGGAGGGAACGTAGCGTCGCACAAAGGTCGCCGCTTGCTTGCATGGGCTGGCTGGGCTGGCTGGCCATGGCTGGGCTGGCTGCCGGCTTTGCTCCCTGGACCCAGGTTGATTTCCTGGGATCCTGGATTTCCGTCCTGGGTCCTGACCGTCATGTTGTCCTGACTGTCCTGGATGTCGCGGTGCCAGAGCCGAAGCCTGCCAAAATGCTCATCGGCCCAGGTATGCCCAGGGTCGCTCCTCTCCCGCCAAAACGTCAAGATCTGTTTGGACATGGTGGATATACATGGCCGAAGCTCCTTGCAGCACCAACCCGGACGAAGTCTGCAGAACTGCTTCTCGCAGAGTGGGGTCCATGGCGTGTCGTGTATCGAGTACCCGCAACTGGCACTGGCGTCCTTCATGCGGATGTGTTATGTGCGCTCATGCATCAAATCTTTGGAGCAAGCGAATAGTTTCCAGCCCCAATGCCGAGGGGGGCGTTCGTGTGTCCAGCGGCAATGACATGTTGTGCGCGCTGGCTCCAGAGACATAATGTCAGCTGTATTTCGTAACTGGGAACTGGAATAGAATCAGAGCAGAGGCAGCAATTACGCACACTCGTGTCGATCATCTCGATTCATCACCCGTCGTTTTGTTCCTCGCTTACTTAGCACCTTGCTCCCCTCGCCCCTCCTCTGACACCTAGCCACACCTAGCAACTATCTCTGACACTTCTACTCCTCACACTACATACATCCCGTTGCTTTCTATCCTCTATCCAGCAAGTCGTCTGTTCGACGATCCCGACCTAACGAGCTCTCCGATTCGACCACCCCTGCACCCTCCTCATTATCCCAATTCCAGCCGTTCGTCACCACCACCACCACCGCCAGAGCGACGACCACCACCACTAGCTGAAAATCGTCTCCCGACCATCGCAGTGCACCAAGCGTCTTTGCCGTGGATCCAAACTGTCCATCGCGCAGCAGGCTCAGCAGTTCTCAACGTGTCCAAGCGTCCGGTCCGCCCAGTCCGCCGCAGACCGAATACTAATCGCCGCTGGATCATCCTGTCCTGATCCCTGCCCTTCTCTACCCTCAGGTCCCTCGTACCCTCGTGCGCCACCAAATCTGAAAGCCCTTGCACATCATCGGGCCCACCTGCCTCGTTCCTTCGGCCTTGACCAACATCATCCCAGCTGGTTGCAGTTGAGCCGGTCGATGCTGCAACTCGGATCTTGGAACTAACACTCTTCCATCTCTTGAACAGCGACCCCCGCGTCATACCGTAACCATTACGGTCTCAACTCTCCAGCTCTCGTCGGCACGCCAACCCGGCAGCGTAGCGGAACTCGATATGCCTCCTTCATTACCATCATCCCTTCCCCCCTCCCGCAAGGCCTCCCTTCAGTTCATTCTTTCCCCGACAGGCCCGTCACCATCTTCGACCGACTCGTCCCCGCCGCAGACGTACGACTATGCCAGCCACCATGTCCGGAGGCCTAGCAGCACCAGTAGCAGTGGCAGCATGAGGGCTGGTGGTATGGTCCACTCTCCTTCCTCGTTTAATGCCTCACCGACCATGGAGTCATCGTCGTCCCACCGCCCTCTCCCCGAGCTGGCCGACATGCCAGCTGAAATCCTGGCGAACATTGCGTACCACGTTGTGGTCGACACCAAAGACGGCAGGCTGAAGGCAGGGCGTCCTGGTCGTCTGTTCCCCTTGTACCTCACCTGCCGATCGATCTACCGCAAACTCAGGATCAAGAACAACCCCGTCCTCTACCACTGGCTGTTCCGGGATACATTCGACACTGACGGTCTGATCCGTCGGACGCAGTGGATGTACGACATTCGCAAGACGAACAAGCCTGGAGAAGTTTTCGATGCCAGCACCTGGCGGACGCTATCGTCGCCGACATTCTCGGATCCCAAGGCCTGGGCGCGAGAGTACAAGGCCCGCTGGGACTTGCGCAACCGTATGCGCTGGGCAGTCATGCATCAAACTCTGTCCCCTAATGGTGTGTCGGCGCACCCTAACATGACCTCCGACAACTGGATTCTGTGGTTCCTTTTCAGCGAGAACGGTGAGCAGTCTTGAGACAACGCTCCTGAGATCTGGCTGACACACGCGCAGACTACCGAAATCTTGCCTTCCTGACGGACGAGTGCCTGTTCCACAAGTGGATCTTGCTCGAGTACAACGAGAACGTTTTGGCTGCATCGCTCAAGCCCGGCTTCCCAGAAGTCAACCCGACCAGATCACTCGCGTGCTGGATCACTCTTCTTTCGACATGTGATTTGTTTGGAGAGAGGACGCCGGCCGAAGTCGATGAGAAGATCTTCCTTTTCCGCCCCTTCGTCTTTGGCAGTGCTCAGTTCCCCTTCGAGTACGCCGACTGGCGATACCGCAAGCTTCCAGTCTGCAGCCCCCAATGCAAGGAGCACCAGCCTATCGCCAGGCATCTCGCGCCGTACTCTCGCTTCGGCCACTCGCACATGCGCGCACCCCCCAACATTGCTACCTCTGCCTACATCATGTTCTTCCGACTTCTGGCCCGTCACCCCGAACGCATGGGCATCAAGCCGGGAAGCACTCTCTGGGTCGACCCGTCCCCCAAGGGCTTGTTCAGCGAGACGCATCTGCTGCCGTCGCTGTACCATGACCTGGAGTGGCAGCGCAACTCGGTCTGCCAGGATGCCCACAACGGCACGGGCCTGCCTCCTTTGACGTTCCACAAGCGCATGTCCGGGTTCTGGCGTGGGGAGATGCTCTTCTTCGACTTTGAGGGCTACCGCCAGGCTCTCAGTGGAAATGTGCATGCTGTCCAGACTGGCACTTTCCACCGCAACGGCGTGGAGATCGAACTCGAGGAGACGGTCATCCGCGTCCCGGAGAATGAGGTCGGCGGCCGTGGAAAGTTGATGAACGCCGGGTTCGGGGATGAGGACTCCGAGGCTGAAATCAACTTCATCCGCGCCGGATACGGGTACAAGGTCCTTACCGGCGATGAGTTGTACGCGCCTGAGAAGCCTGGCTGGACGAAGGAGATCTTGTTGTCTGGACGCCACCGATGTGGCTGGGGTAACGCCACCATTCGCGGCAGAATTCGTTCGTGGGATGGCTTGGTGCTGCTCTCAGTGGGTGAGGCCGACAAGTACCCTGTGGGCAGATGGCTGCTGAGGGGATACGTGCATGTCAATGGCGGCTTTGTTGGCAAGTGGAGGGACTGTCTTACGCCTGAGAACCGCCATGGCTACGAGGGACCGTTCGCCTTCCTTCGCGCCGGTGACGTGTTTTACCCCGACCACATGCCCAAGACGTGGGAGGAGTCCAAGGGCGTGGTCATGATCGACACGCTGGTGGGAGGCATGCAGGCCGACTCGTCCTTCCCTCGTCAACCGATGAAGTCGTTGAGCGCCTCGTCGCAGGCCAGCCCCGTCAACCCCGGCAGCCAGAGTCCTACCATGCAGAACGGCTCCGGTCTTGTCAAGAGCCCCGTGGACATGCCCCGCGAGTTCGGCCGAGACGTTCACAGGAGTCCCACTCAAGCGTCTCAGGCCAGCATGAGCTCCGACAGCGGCGGCAAGCGTCGTTGGTCGGGCGAGGAGGACCAGTCGCGACCTTCCAGTCGAGCCAAGAGCGAGGACCACGGACGCCCCAGTTCTGGAGGTGACATGAAGCCGCTTACTCGCGGGTTCCGGGAACACCACATAACGAATGGAGACCGACCCAGGAGCTATGCAGAGGACGGCCGCTCGCAGTACATGGATCCTCGCTACCGCCAGCCCGTGGACGGTGAGCGTTTCCGTTATATGGACTCCGGACGCCCTCCCCGCCCCTCCAGCATGGAGTTCAAGCAACGCGACAGCGACAGGTACAGGAGTGCTAATGGAGACCGCCACCCAAGCTACGGCCAAGGTCCCAGTGACCACCGCGGCATGGACGTCGACCACCGACCTGGTAGCAGCAGGTCTTCGGTGGCGGACGGCGGCCGCCCCATCAGCGGCAAGGGCATGGACGTCGACTCGCCTCGCAGCAGTGGAGGTTACTGGTCCGGGAGCGGAAGCGGAAGGAGGGGTAGCGACGCGGACCGGCACAGGTGGTGAGGAAGGTGTACAGTTCGCAGAGAGCGGTTAATCAACTTAACGAGACTCGTTATTCACTTATATGTTCAGCTATTGCCAGTATTTCAACAACTTGTAGCTCTATATCACTCGTAACTTGAATGTACAGATGTACAGATGAATCATATTTCTGGAGTCGCTGCGTGCTTGGAAGTTGGCAGTAGGGCAGTCACTGACGAGAGACTCACCAGATGAGCGTGCAGCTCATGTGCAGGGGCGATCGCGACATCCCACGTGCCTGAGGAATGACCCGAGATCAAAAGTTCGCCGCGGGGTGAACGTTTGTTATTGTTCTTGGTTCACCACCACCCCCAATCCACTCCGCCGCAACAAGCAAGCATGGTTAAGATCGAAGGATACGGTGACATCACGCCCCTCAGCGCTGAGGCCGAGGCGCTCGTCCAGAGCCAGGACCCCGAGCACGTAGGTCCGTCTTCCCTTGCTGAGCTGACGCCAGCCCGCTAACCTGATCCCCGAGCTGTGCCGCGAGTTCTACAAGCTCGGCTGGGTCACGGGTACCGGTGGTGGTATCTCGATGCGTAAGGGGTGAGCAAAAGCTTCTTCTCCTTCTCGTTCTGTATCTCTAGCTAATGTCAGCGAGCTCGTCTACCTTGCGCCGTCAGGTGTGCAGAAGGAGCGCATCCTTCCCGAGCACATGTTCGTGCTCCCCTTTGCGCAGTCGGCCGTCCCCAAGCCCGGATCGAAGCGTGACCTCCTCCGCATCCCGTCCAAGAAGGGCCTGAACGAGTCGCAGTGCACGCCCCTGTTCTGGAACGCGTTCACAATGCGCGACGCCCAGTCGTGTATCCACACCCACTCCCAGAATGCCGGTGAGTCTTCCTTCCTGTTGACGAGAGGGACACTTCGTCCATTGTCCGAAGCTGTGGGGCGCGCGGTCTACGTAGCTAACATGCCAGTCATGCTCACGCTCCTGCTCGGCAAGGACGCTAAGAGCTTCCGCATCAGCCACCAGGAGATGATCAAGGGCGTCCGCCTCGGCGGCGTCGGCAAGACGCTCGCATACTTCAACACGCTCGAGGTGCCCATTATTGAGAACACGGCGCGCGAGGAGGATCTCACCGACTCGATGGGCAAGGCCATGGAGGAGTACCCGGACGCCGCCGCCATTCTCGTCCGAAGGCACGGTGTCTACGTCTGGGGTGAGTGAGACGCTGGAGGAGGGGGCATCTTCTGGCCCTCGGGTGACGCTGAAGAAGCTACGCAGAACGGGCAAATAAGCTGACAGACAGGTCCCTCGTGGGAGTCCGCCAAGACCCAGGCCGAGTGCCTCGACTACCTCTTCGAGATCGCCGTCAAGATGCTCCAGGCCGGCATCCCCCTCGAGGGCGACGTTTAGAAAGTTCTTCCTCCCGAAGAACACCATTAGAACATATCACGATATGCATACCACATTGTGCTACGATACTAAACTCCCGGCTGCTTGAAACCCACTTTGCATGCATGCAGTAGGCTCAGCATCAAAGCGGCAGACTTCAGCAGCTCGGCGCACAAATAACGGAGAGCACGGTTTTTGCCGCCGTCGATATGGATTCCAGGCACGGGTGACGTCTAAAAGTTGGACATGGGTGCAGATCAACCACCGGGAACACATGTCCTTTGCAACAACAAACACCACCATGCCGAAAGCTCCGCCGACACCTCCTCTGCCTCTGAATGGATTGTTCCCCGTCGCGAAGCCGAGCGGTCCCCCGTCGTGAGTCTCCGGAAGCTTACAAAAGGTGGTTCGAGCTAACCGCAGGATGCGGATCATCGACGCTCTGAACCCGCTCCTGCTTGAGTCGCGCCTCTTCGTGGACCCGAACCAGACACGGCCGAAGGAGCGCAACAAGCGGAAGAAGAATGCGACGCACATGGGCCTCAAGATCGGACAGGGCGGCACGCTCGACCCGCTCGCGGACGGCGTGCTTGTCATCGGCGTGAATCGGGGCACGAAGCACCTGAACCGCTTCCTCGAGTGCACGAAGGAGTATGAGTCGATCGGCCTCCTCGGCGCCGCGACGACGAGTTACGACTCGGAGGGCTCGATCCTGAGCACCGGCGACTTTGACGGCGTCACGCGCGAGGACGTCGAGCGCGTCCTCGACCAGTTTAGGGGCAAGATCAAGCAGACTCCGCCCATGTGAGTCCTTCGCTCTCCAGCTTAACGTTTGCTTCGCAGAGCTGACAGCAGTTTCTCCGCACTCAAGATGGACGGCAAGCCTCTGTACGAGTACGCGCGGGAGAGCAAGCCTCTCCCCCGCGCGATTCCCGTGAGGGAGTGCGAAGTCTCGATCGACCTGATCGACTTCCAGCCGGCGCAGGAAGTCGAGGGCGACGGCGGACACACGTACAAGTGGCCTACGCAGCGTCTTTCGACCGACGAGAAGGAGGTCTTCACCAAGCTGAACAAGATGGTGCACGACGCGGGCGGCGAGGCCGCGACCGCCGAGCCGCCAATCGACCTCGAGGCGCCCGACGTCCCCGAAGTAAGCGCCAAGACGGGCAAGCGCCCCGCCGCATTCACGGTGCGCATGACCGTCTCGTCGGGCACGTATGTGCGCTCCATCGTGCACGACATTGGGCTCGCGCTTGGTTGCGGCGCGCACGTCGTCAAGCTCACGCGCACGCGGCAGGGCGAGTTTGTCCTCAACGGGCCCGAGGATGAGGCGCTGCTCGACGAGTTCGCGTCCGAGATGGCGGCCGAGGACGCCGCTCGCGCCGAGAAGGCCGAGGGCGGCGTCGTACCCTCGCAGCTGATCTCGGAGGAGGAGGCGACGAACGCGCCCGCGCCGGCGGCGTGTAAGGAGGAGAAACGCTCCGTGCCCTGTGTTCCGTGGGATGTGTTTGAGCGCGCTATTGCGGAGCGCGACGCGAGCCGCAAGGCCGAGGAGCAGGAGAGGGAGGAGGCGCGCGAGAACATGACAAAGGAGGAGTGGAGGGACAGGTATGGGTACGACGCGGTGCACAGGCGCAACGCTGAGGCGCCGCTGAAGGAGTGGGAGAACGAGGTGCTCCGCCGCTTCGTGCCCGTTCCGCTGCCTGTGGTTCGTGACTCCAAGTCGAGGCAGAAGCAGTACTAGAGTAGTGATACAGTGATACAGTGCATTATGTGATACAGATTTAGCTTCTAGTTCAGAGTGCGGGAATGTCAGGCGTCGCGCAACAGGATACGAGTGATCGTCTTGGCGACCTTGACGCAGACGTGGTCCACTCTCCATCCGCTCTTCAACAACGCCATCACTTCCTCCTTGTGCTTCTCCAACAGGCCCAGATCCAGCTTCTTACCATCGTCGAGCCACCATGCAAAACTGGTGTGAAACTCGGGATTCTCATGGTATGTCGGCAGGTGCTCCCTCCTCAGCAGCCCGTCAACTTTCTCCAGCAACGTGCCCAGCTCTCGCGTTCCAGCAGAAGTGCGCAGGGCGAGGAATGCGCGCTTGGGTCCATTTTTCGGAGCGTTGTTGTACACCTTTGGCGGCCAGGCTAGGCCAACACTGAACGCCGGCATGTCCCTCAGTATGCGTGAGACGAGGCCAGGAAAGGTCTGGGACAGCGGGCGGCGCAGTGGAAGAGGGTGGGAGAGGGAAATGTGCAATGCAGGGGGCATTGGCTCCTCCCCGGGCCGCTTCTGTTCTGTCTTCTTCGCGGAAAGCTCACCAGCTTCAGATTCCGCAGTGTCCTCCACCGTAGGTTCGGAGGGCGACAGCAGAGAATGGGCCGTGACTCGGAGCTCTGAAGCGACTGTCATTCCCATCTTGTCCAGGGCGCTGCGCAGTTCGTCGTTGACGTCGACTGAGAGTCAGCTTCACGTCCAAAGGGGCCCCAGCTCACGTTCGACGTAGACGTGCGCGTAGTAGTCTCCATCTACGAAAGGCCTTGCGCGAACTCGGCCACCATGATCTTCAGGTCTGTCCGTTGAAATGCCAGAGTACGATTTTGGTAGACTTGGGAGCTTCTTCCTCGGTCTCGGTATCGATTTCGGGACTGTCTCTGGCTTGTTCGTGCCGCGAGAGGAAAAAGGGGCGGATGGTGAGACTTTGCGTCTGTCGTCAGCTTAAGACTGAGATTAAAGCTTACCTCTTCACGGGCTCCTCGGGCTCGCTCTCGGAGCTCGAGCCGTAGGCAACAAGACCCATGGAGAGTGTCAGTTGTCAACAATCGCCCGGCGCCAGGCACCGATAACAAGTGGCGAGTGGTGCACGTGATTAGACCCCCCCTCCTTCTCTCCATCCTCTGTCCTGTTGACAGCAGCTGCAACAAGCAATGCGCTAGTATACAAGGCGTACATGGGTCCAAGAAGCTATGCGTGTTCTCTATGTCTACTCTACTTGAGGGCTGGCTCTGCCGGCGTCGCGGGCTTCTTATCAAAGATCCAGCCCAGGTGCGTCGTGAGCGTCTCGAAGAGGGCGAAGATCATGGCCGAACTCGGGCCGGAGCGCATGCACGTAAGCGCGCAGCCGGCGTAGAGGCCGCGGATGCCGCGCGACTTGTAAATGTTGCGCGCCGTCTCGACGAATCCGGGCACAGGCTTGTTCGGGTTCAGCTCGGCGTAGGTCTGGATCGTGCTCTTGACGCTGTCAGCGGGGAAGAGCGAGACGTTGTAGCAGATCCCGCCGCCGGCGCCGGCAGCCATGAGCTCCCATGGCGAGAGGTCCGCCTTCGTGATCGTCACGTCGGGAGCGGCCCGCTTCTGCCGCCGCGAGATGAAGTACTTGGCCAGAAGCTCGTACATGCCGAACCACGCTGCGCCGCCGCCCGTCTCGCGTAGAAGCGTGCCCGTCTGCCCGAGCCAGAGACCGCGGATACCGTTCTGGCGCACCGTGTCTGCGATGAGCGCGAGGGGGCCCTTGGGCGCATTGCTCTGCGTCATGCTCGCCGGAAGCACGACTTGCGAGGCGGGCGATGCCGGCGCCTCGAGACCCGTCTTCACAATTACGTCGCCGGCGGGGTGGCTGATCTGCTGCACCTGCATGCGGCACTTGATCAGCTCGATGGGCGTGAGGACGTAGGACGTGACGGCTCCAGCTCCAGCGCCGGAGAGCGCGAGTTCGGGAATCGTGAGAGGCGCATCGCGCTGAGCCTCAGGGCGAAGAGAGACGATACCGGCCTGGCAGCGGTTGTACACGAAGAACAGGGTCGCGTTCTCCATCGCCGCACCGACAACGGGGGCGGAGAGGCCCTGTTGGTCAGCTTGTGGCTCCGTTCACTCAGCTTGTCTGGCTGCGATGACGTTCTGTGAACCTCAGACACCGGGCCGGTGCCGGTGTGGCTTACGCGCACCGAGCCGTTATTCCGGGACAAGGATTCCGCAGTCCCGCCGCGGCGTGTGTATCGCATGTCGCCGAAGTGTGGGGGGCACACCGGCGCCGAGTCCAGACAATGCAGATACTCACAGCATACAGGCCACGGAAGCCCTCGTTCTTCAGCGTCTTCTTGAAGCAGTCCAGCGGACCCGTGAACGACAGCGGTCGGTCGGTCGGCTGGCTCTGCAGGCGGACCTTGACGAGGTCTGGCGTTAGTCAGCTGAACAGGAGGTTTTTAGCTCACCAAAAGGATGTTCGAACAGCTTGGCGGCCATGCCGGCCATCTTCTTGTCAGCTATTCCCAAAGACCTGAAAGCTGCAACAAACTAACACTGCCAAAGACTAGGTCACGGACGGCGCCATTGTCGTCGCTGCCCATACTGTGGGTCTGTTTGCGGTCGCTGTGGTCTGAATTGGCTGGTGGAGGGTCAAGAAAAAAGTCGTCGGATAGGTCCAGGTCACAAGTTGCGAATCGTGCGAAGTCGATGTCGTACGCCGCGTTGAAGGAGTAGAAGAGAGTGCGATATGTGTGTCGAGAAGACGAGGATGGTCGGGACAGGAAATAAAACCCGATCGAGCGAGGAGTCACTATGGAGACTTTCGCAGTTACGTAACCACGCCCACTCTGGGGCTCCGTACAGACTGCGCGACGCGTGCGTGTTTAGGCTGCACGCTTGTGTGTTTAGCCTGTTCCTGGGAATTGGTCTTCGCTCGTTGTGCGCGGCAATCATAACGCCAGCGGGAGCTCCAGAATGACCTTCAAAAGACGCAGAAGGTCTAACAGCCTAGAGCAGCCGAAAAAACGCCCACGTTGTGTACGCGGCGTTCATGATCCCGCCGGAATGTCTACAGACAGAATTGGGATGATAGCTCAGTTGGGAGAGCGCGAGAGTGAAGCTTCAGAAGTCAATTCTTGAGGTCGGGCGTTCGATCCGCCCTCGTCCCATCTTTTGCATTTTGCTAGTTTGCAGATCTCACTCATTGCCGGATCGTCTGCCGGCTGCGTATGTGAGGCACACCGTACCTTGTTTTTGTGGCATGCGAGTTATTCCCAGACGATATCATCCTCACGAGGGCACTGGGTCTGAGCGGATAAAGAGCTCTGTGCAGCGCTCACACCTCGTGCACTGCTCGCCACTACGACGCTCTTCTCAATCATTCAGCAGCAAATATGCAGCACTCAGAACAGGGCAAGTTGCCAACGCATCACCACTCAACACATACCGCGCCGACTCGTGCGGCCTCCCATCGGTCCAGCTCCGACACCGACGCTCCCTGCGCCCTCCCCAGCCTCACCAGCCCTACTCTAAGTGCTCGGCCACCGCCTTCCCACCCTCCTCGCTCCTCACCCACTCTCCATCGCAAGTCTATGAGCGCCGACGAAGTCGTCGTCCCTGGTCTGCCGCCTCTCGACTGGGCTCTAAAGCCCGGCCGGGCGTATGTGACACAGTCCAGTCTCTTCCTCGAGGCTAACGGGTCGACGGACTGGTTCTGCCCCGGACCCTCTCAGAATCCGCGCTTGAACGCTCGTCCGCTCGGCTTCAGCGCGCCGGGCACATTCGCTCTCTCGGCCAAAGTAAGCATCAAGGGCGAGCGCTCCGTCTACGACGCTCCGGCGTTGATCGTCTGGCGCCTTTCCAGTCCGAAACGACACTGGGCCAAACTGTGTTTCGAGCAGGCGCCGGCTCTCTCGCCCTCACCCTCTCCAGATGGGGAGGAGGACGTCAACGGCTCCCCAGGACCACGAGACACAGGCACCACAGGCCCAGTGTCGGTCGTGAACCACTGTGACGCTTCTGACGATGCAAGCCATGGCGCAACGGACGGGGAGGCGCTGTACCTCCGCGTCTCTCGGACTGGGAGCTCCAGCTTCGCCTTCCACTCCAGCACGGATGGGAGGAGATGGGACCTACTCCGGATCTTCACCCTCGGCGGCGAGGGGGAGATCAGGGCCGGATTCCTCGCCCAGTGTCCTACGGGCAGTGGGTGTGAGTGCCGCTTTGAGGAGATCAGGCTCGGGCAGCCGCCGAGGAACCTCCGCGATGGCACTTGAGTGCGGAACGATGCCGTGACGGAGTGATCACTGCGATCACCGTCGATCATTCCATGGCCCCCCACCCACTCCTCTGTCCCCCCGCACCTTGACTCCGCTCTGCTCCCATGCAGTGACGATTTTCAGCTCACACTGGAATCACACGACGGCACAAGTGCGGACCAATTCCCGCCCGACCGAAACCTTGCTCCCATACTCAAGATACATCTACGACGATACCGAACGACGAGGATACGACACCCAGCGCCTAATGACCTCCGTGATGACACTGCGGCGCGCGACCTGTTACCACTCTTTGACTTCCTTGTTGAACTCCCGGCCCCTTCCCATTCCCTGGTTTGTAGCTCTTTCTCCCTCTGTGTTAGGAACGAAGCCAAGCGGCCGTCATGTGGGCGGCCCTGTGACATACTTATGCTGAAAGTGGAGAGGCCCGCTGGCGCCCGCTCGTATCCGAGTCCGAGGCCCCGTGGAGAAGAGGCATGCGGGCGGGCGGCAGTGGGTTGAATGCATTGGTAGTACCTTGTTGGAGGGAGGACCGTACCGGTTAGAGGGGCGGACAGATTTCCGAGGCGTGCAAGGGTGGACATGACCGCGGCCGATCGGTGAACCCGACTGGTCGTGGTCGTGTGGGCGGTGTGGGCCGTGTGGGGCTCGCTCTTGTCCGCCGGCGGCCTGGGATTTGGTCCGGGTAAAGCATGGCCGGGGCAGCCGAGAGGGCTAGAGGGCCGCGGGGTTCGGGACGTACTATGCCCGCGCGCCCGTACCGCTTGCTCAGCTTACCCAAGGTTACCCAGGTACCCAGGCAGAGTTCCTAATCCAAGGGTCTATAGGTCCATTTGGTCCCGCGCCTATTGGCTCTCACCCCAGCGCTCGCTCCTAATCCAATGGAAATGACAAAGCCGTCTCACCCAAACCCATCGAGCGCTCTAGCCGCACACCACTTTTCCTCGGCCCATCCACCCACGCCCGGCCTAGCACTTACGCTGGCTGGCTGACGATCCTTCGCTTAACTGCGTCTCCGTTCCACAGCGCACCCCCCCTCGGCAAGCATCGTCCACATCCCGGCTCATTGCATTCTCCACATTTCTCTATCCCTCACACCTCCTCCTGTGCCATTCCTCTTCCACGACCTCGCTACATTCGACGTTGAACAGCACAACAACAACAGCGACAACAGCTGAAATCCCGCTGACGGATTCTGAGGCGTTCCCTTATTTTCGCCGCGAACCGAACCCCACTTGATCCGACGACCCTACTCCTACCCACATCTACACCATGCCCGCAACAGCAACAGTATCTCCCTCTCTTCCCCACCAGCAGCCGGCCCAGCACCACGTCTCCCAGGGCGACCTCGACATCCTCTCCCTCCTCACTGCAGACGGCCCGAACCCGAACAAGAAGAAGGGCCTTCCCCGCCGAGACCAGCCGCTCGACTCGCTGCTCCTCACTGCTGTCCTCGCTGGCAGCGACAAGGTCACGAGACACCACTTTGGACACGGCACGATGCCCTATGCCGCCTGCGATGAGAGCCGGCCGCAGTCCCCCATGCCTCCGCGGAAGAGCATGCAGGCTCCCCGCTCCGAGCGACTCGCCAAGGACCAGGCCGAGGCTGCCGCGGAGCAGCCCGTTAAGGTTGCGGCGCCCGCCGCCCCTCTTTCTGCTGCGCCGGCGCCGGCCCCCATCGCCGAGCGCAAGCGACGGATGTCAATCGACCCCCAGCCCGTGAGCCAGCTCCTGCAGCAGGCTTCCCCCGCCCACGTCAACTTCTACCACGGCCGTGGCATGCCCATCGGCAAGCCCTCTGGCCAGCCGCAGGTCAAGTGCATGGCCCGTACCCGTGTGCCCACTCCCCACGGCGAGGTTTTCCTGCACCTCTACCACAACTCACACGACAACAAGGAGCACCTTGCGATCGTGATGGACCCGATCCAGCTTGACCCCGAGGCCCGCGCTGCCGCCCCGAAAGGCCGCAAGGAGATCCGCTCGCGATCACTGGACGCCGTCTGGCGCGACGGTGAGACGGAGATGGAGCGTGTCGTCCGCGGTGCCTATGTCGGCCGGCTCCACCCTGGAGGTGAGGGACAGGCTTCCAAGCCGAAATCGCAGGCCGAGTACGACGCCGAGGACGCCATGGGCGAGGACGACGAGGTTGACATCCGCCCGCTCGTCCGCATCCACTCTGAGTGCTTCACTGGCGAGACGATTGGCTCCCTCCGCTGCGACTGCGGCGAGCAGCTCGACGAGGCCATGCGCCGCATCGCCGAGCCTCAGCGGTTACCCTCTGACTCTACTTCCGAGTACCTCCCGACACCCGAGGCCTCGCGCGCTCCGTCACCGCACCAGCGGGGACAGGTCGTGCCCGGCCGCGGTGTCGTCATCTACATGCGGCAAGAGGGCCGCGGTATCGGTCTCCTCGAGAAGATCCGCGCCTACAACCTCCAGGACCTGGGCCACGACACGGTGACTGCGAACCTGATGCTTGGCCATGGCGCCGACGAGCGAACATACGCCGTTGCCGCCGAGATTCTTCGCGACCTCGGTCTCGCCGGCGACGAGGCGCTCGGCAAGGGCGGCGTGCGCCTGCTCACGAACAACCCCGAGAAGGTTGTTGGCCTCAGCGGCGAGGGTATCCGCATCTCTGACCGCGTCGGCATGGTTCCGCGCGACTGGCAGTGCCGACACGACTGCCCGAGTGCGGCTGAGGAGAAGGAGTACGACGAGTGGCGCGCGCGGAGAGCCGGCGTCGGCCTCCTTGGCGCGACGACGACGCGCGCTCCGGAACTCGACAAGTACCTCCGAACGAAAATCGAGCGCATGGGCCACATGATCGACATCCCGGAGTCGACCGAGTCGACCGACGAGCAGGCTTAAAAGAGCTCTTTGTATCACGCCCCCTTTCACGGGCACACCGCAACCGGCATCAAACACATCGCAACGCATCTTGGACCCTTGGAGATCTGCAGGGAGTAGAGGGGTCAGAGATGGCCCCGCCATATCATTGTAAAACTGTAATGCAACCAATAGCTAAAACACGATGACGCGCAACGCTTCCAGGCGTGCAGGCGTACGAGAAGCATGACGGCGAGTGGGCACAGAGTGGGAGTTGAGTCAACTGGGATGGCGGCGACAGGAACGTAATGGCTGGATTAGGAGCGGCTCAGTTGCTCGCGGTATGGGGTAAATTAGAAATTTTGAGCGCGTGAGGAACGCGACCCCGCATCACACGTCCACTCCAGTACACCCACACGCGCGCCACCCGCCCTGCGTCCAGACGATAACAAGCACTCGAACACACAACACACTCCATCTCCCATCTCACACTCGTACCCTTCCCAGTAGCCCGATCACATCTGTGCGGGGCACCCTTCTCCCATCTCACCTCTTCCTCCTACCCACATTCATCCATCCACCCCAACTGTAACTTATCATGACCGCGGCAGAGGAGAAGCGACGAGTAAGTTGATCTGCGACCTACAGGCAAAACTAACCTTCAGGACGCGCTCGACAAGCTCAAGCGCCGAGCAGCCGGCTCGACCCCCGGCGGCCCAACCCGCCCAATAGTCATCGACTCGGCGACGCCGTCACCAGACCCGGCGCGCGTGCTCGTCCCCGCCTCCAGCTCGCCGGTGCACTCGCCAGCAGCGCAGGGAATGGGGCGCACGCAGATCCCCTCGTCGAATCTCGGCCGCCTTGTTACGAGTCCGGTGAAGAAGAGTCTGGGAGAGTACTCGCCATCCTCCCCTCAGCCTCTCAGCAGGCTTAAGAGGAGAGCAGACCCGGACGCTTCGCCGACCAAGGCGGCACCTGCCTCGCTCCCCGCCTCTGCTAGCACTTCACGCTCCACCTCCGGTACCGCTTCGCGCTCCGCCTCCGCTACTGCGTCGGCATCGAAACCCGCGCTTCCCCGCAAGGGACCGCCGAAACTCGTCGCCGCCGCGCGAGACCAGCACAACGCCGACGTTGAAGCGCGCATTCAGAAACTGATAGGGCAGTATCCGAAAGCGAACCGGGCCGAGGTGCACCAGGCGATCCAGCGGAATCCGAATAACCCGGAAGAAATCCTGGACCAGGTGCGGGAAGCCCACGAGCGCGGCATCACCACCGAGCGGCAGGCGCAGAACAGCGCTGTTGTCTCGAGCAAGCTCAAAACCTTTACATATGTGCCGACACCGTCGCCGTCGACTCCCTCTTCGAGCCAGCCGGCGTCGCCCTTCGTGTCGTCCGCTTCGGCCCGCCCGCGGGTGAGCACCACGATCGAGTCGCCCAAGAAGAAGCGCAGGAACGAAAATTCGACCATCTACGCCAAGCGCGCCAAGGGCGACAAGCCGAAGCGGGACGCGGACGAGGAGAGCGCCGCCGAGAGTGGGGCAGAGAGCGATGGCTCGGACGCATGGAGCGGGGAGGACACGCGTGTGCGTAAGAAGAAGCGGACAATCGAGGACGACGACGACGAGATTGACGCCGAGGGTGCGGCCCTGCGCGGGTTCAACGAGGACAGCGTCGAGACGCTCACGGGCACGATTGCGTGCAGCGAGGAACAGGCCAACAAGATCATCTCGCTGCGGCCGTACGCCGACGCGGACGAAGTGGCCGCCAAGCTGCGCAAGGCGCGCGGCGTGTCGTTCAAGCTCTTTGAGCAGTATGTCGACATCATGGAGGGATATGTCCAGATCGACAGCTGTCTGAACCGCTGCGAGAGCATCGCGGACGAGATCGCCAACACGCTCTCGGTGTGGAAGGGCGCGTCGACTGCCAGCGACTCGGTCACGGGCACGCCGTCCAACCTGAACGACGTCAAGGTCGACGTGGCCAAGGTGTCCGAGCTACTCCTCAGCGAGACGAACACGCACAAGCGCAAGATTCTCGCCTCATACATCCGCCAGCAGCCGTCGCTGCTCTCCGATGGCACGGTCCTCAAGGACTACCAGCTGCTTGGCGTCAACTGGCTCAATCTGCTCTACAGCCGCAAGATTGGGTGTATCCTCGCCGACGAGATGGGTCTCGGCAAGACGATCCAGGTCATTGCCTTCCTCGCGCACCTGAAGGAGCGCGGCATCCACGGCCCTCACATGATCTTTGTGCCCGCGTCGACACTCGAGAACTGGACGCGCGAGTTTGAGCGCTTCGCCCCCGACATCAACGTCGACACGTATTATGGCTCGCAGGCTGAGCGCGTCGAGCTCCGGTCAGAGCTCAAGCACAAGTTCCGCGCGGGCAAACTTGAAGTTGTGCTCGCATCCTACACACAGGTGACGAGCCATGACGACCTGTCCTTCTTCAAGAAGAAGATTGACTTCAAGACGTGCGTCTACGACGAGGCGCACATGCTCAAGAACTTTGTGTCGAAGCGGTACACCGACCTGCTCTCGATCAAGCCGCAGTGGCGCCTCCTCCTGACGGGTACGCCTGTGCAGAACAATCTGCAAGAACTCGTGTCGCTGCTCATGTTCATTCACCGTTCTGTCTTTGCCGAGGCCGAGCCCCACCTCCGCGCCATCTTCAAGGTGCAGAGTGGTGGCGGGGGGGCCGCGGGCGCCAAGGCGAGCATGTTAAGCCAGAACCGCGTTTCGCGCGCCCGCACCATGCTCACGCCCTTTGTTCTGCGACGACGCAAAGCGCACGTCCTCACGCTCCCGCCCAAGATTGAGACGACCGAGGAGTGCGAAATGACCCCGACACAGGCCAAGCTCTACCGCGACACGCTGCTTAGGAGCCGCAAGGCGATCGCGTCGATGAGCGAGGAGGCGCTCGAGGCGGCTGCCGACGGCGACGTCGATGAGGACGGAAAGCCCAAAGCCACAAAGGGCAAGAAGAAGGCTGCGTCGGCGCCCAAGGACCAGTCGTCGTCCAACATTCTGATGGAGCTGCGCAAGGCCGCCTCCCACCCCCTCCTCTTCCGCCGGATCTACACGATGCCCAAGCTGAAGCAGATCGCCCGTGCGTGTCTGAACACGCCGACGTGGTGCGACTCCAATTTCGACTATGTCGTCGAGGACCTCGAGGTGATGACGGACGCGGAGATCCACAACTTTGTCAAGGAGCACGAGGAGCTGGCGCATTTCGCGCTCGACGAAAAGGAGTTCCTCGAGGGCGGCAAGATGGCCGCGCTTCTCCGGATCATCGAGCGTTGCGAGGCAGAGGGCAAGCGTCTCCTGCTCTTCTCGCAGTTTACGATGATCCTCAACATTCTCGAGGTCGCGCTCACGTCCAAGGGCGTCAAGTATGTGCGGTTGGACGGGCAGACGCGCACGGATGAGCGCCAGGGCATTGTCGACGAGTTTAACGAGGACCCCTCTATTCCCGTCTTCTTACTCTCCACCAAGGCCGGCGGTGTGGGCATCAACCTGACTGCTGCGTCTGTCGTGGTCATTTTCGACCAAGACTTCAACCCGCACAACGACAAGCAGGCCGCAGACCGCGCGTACCGTATCGGCCAAGAGCGGCCCGTGGAGGTCATCAAGCTCCTGTCCAAGGGAAGCATTGACGAGGACATTGCAGCGATCGGCCAGACCAAGCTGCAGCTCGACGACATGGTCGGCGGCGACGGCGTGGCCACTGGCGCAGGCACGCCGGCGACGGACGCGAGCGAGGACAAGACGGCGGCCGAGGTTAAGAAGTCGCTCCTCAAGACGCTTCGGACCAAGTTTGAGGCCGAGGGTGACGCGGCCGGCGCGGAGGGCACGCCAGAGGTCGAGATGGACGAGGACGTCGTTAAGGTCAGCGCCAGCCAGCCGAAGAGGGCGCGTGGCGTTGCCCGATAGACGGATTGTCGCATACCAACAAAAGTACTAGTAACATAAACAACCACATCGCATAGTGTATACTCCCCTTTTTGCGCATACATTACCGAATACGAATGCATTGCATCTGCCTGTACTGTGGTTCTGGCTAGTCGTGGATGGACCAGGAGGGGTGTGCACGTGACCACCACAAGCGAAGTGGAGGCACGATGTGGAGGTCGACCAAAAGTTGCCGATCTATGTTGACAGCTCTGAGCGACTTTGGACCAGTACCACTGACAGACAGGACAGCAAAATGTACTGGTACCTGTCCTTCCTGCGTCCTCCGCCGGTGGCGACGCCGCTCGGCGAACCTGTCGTGATCACGCCGCAGGTCGCGAACGACCTGCGAACGGAGTGAGCCCTCTTTCCCTCCTCTCCCCATCCCCCATTTCAAAGCTGACATTACAGGCTGCGCGAGTCGCCCACCGAAGTACTCTACACCTGGCACCGTCTTCATCCGCCCTCCCAGCCCCTCCCCTCTCAGGTGCTGACGACCTTCGAACCCCCAATGAGCACGTACAAGCCCATCTCGGTCCCGCTGCCGAAGGGCGCGAAGGTCGGTGAACTGTGGAGATTGGGCCTGCTCGCGCCGCCGGCGCAGGGCCCGAGCTCGATCCCGCTCGAGAGGCTGCTGGCCGATCCGGGCGTGCTGGGTGTGTGGAGTGAGGGCATCGAACTACTTCCCGCGGCCGCGCCTGATCCGAAGGCGGCGAAGGGGAAGGGGAAGAAGGGAGACAAGGGCGACAAGGGCAAGGGCAAGGCGAAAGAGGCCCCGAAGCAGAGCCGCATCACGCGCTCCTGGCCCACAGCCTATGGCGCACTGAAAGTCGTCGAGCAGACGAGTTTTGATCTGGATAAAGTGAGCTTTGGACGTTCTAGCACAGCTGATGAACAGAAAGTGTGGGACTCTGGCCTGGCGCTGAGTGCTTGGCTCGGCCGCTATCTCTCCACTTCACACCCACACACCCTCGCCCGACGAGTACTCGATCTCATCCCCGGGAACAGCATTCTGGAGCTCGGCAGCGGGACGGGTCTCGTCAGTATAGCGCTGTCGCCGCTAGCGCCCTCGGCGAGGATAACGGCGACGGATCTTGGTACGTTGAATACCTTGTGTGGATGAACTGACCCCAGACTCCGCCATGGAAATCATGCAGCAGAACATAGACTTGAACGGGGTCGATGTCGCTGCAAAGGTGCTCGATTGGGACGCGCCGATGCCCCCCTGGGTTGAGAGTGATTGGCCCTCGCTCGTCTTGTAAGTCCCCCCCCCCCTTACTGAAGAGCGCAGCGCCGCCGACGTCACGTACAACACGGCCTCGTTCCCGTGTCTCGTCGCCACGCTGGAGAGATTGCTGAAGCCGAAAGATCGACCGGCACCACTCCTCTTGCTGGCGTACAAGCAGCGAGATGAGGCCGAGCGCGATCTCTGGGCCATGCTCAATGATAGAGGCATAGACACCGTATTGGTCGATCGCGTCCAGGGCGCCGAAAAGACGGGAGAGACCGAAATCTGGGTTGCCGGCGTGGGCCTGTAACTTGGGACCCTAGGTTATGGGGAAGCCATAGATAGAACATAGACAGCTGTATGTAACGGTACAGTGCAATTGTCATACTACAACTTGAGACGCTGTGAAATGCATGCTGCGACTGGAGGAGATCATGAGACCCAAGGCTGTGGATATGCGAAACGCGCACTGCTGAGATCGATTAAGGGCGAGCCGGGAGCCGTGGGCCAGCGGCCTGGCGCGCTTGGTGACGCTACTGCGGGGTGGCAAGGGGCGTACGCCGTAGACCACACATAGACCCTTTGCCACGCGAGCCACGAACCACGACGAGCGTCGAATTCCTCCAACGTGATACACCCTCCTATCAATCACTCTTTGCTCTGCTTTGCACCATACACTAAGACTTTCACCCCACTTCGCGCGGACACACTCAGCAGGCAAGCCCCAGCCATGGCACCCGCACCGCGCGGACTGGCGCCTCCCCCTTCGTCATGGTCTGATCTCGACGACGACGACGGCTGGCAGGGTATGTGTTGACATGATTCGTGGGGTTGCGATCGTGCGGCGTTCGACCAGATCACGAGTCCATGAACAGAGGCAGAGGCAGGATCGGGAGCTTGCTGCGTCTCGCTTGCTTCCGCTTGCTTCCGCTCGCTGTCGCTCGCTTATCGCCCGCGCTGACATCAGACATGCCGGTCGTGCGGTCGAACGACTTCACGAGCGAGTTCGACGCGATCGACGACAAGCGCTACGGGTACCGGCCCGAGCGCCTCGATGATGGCGAGGACAAGACGCAGTCGAATGCGACGGGACAGCACCTTGAGCTCGGGGTCGACACGCTTGCCTCAGAGAGCTGGCGCGAGAAGGGCAACTCGATCGACGAGAGCGACTACACCCGTCTCCGGCTGGAAGAAGACGAGGAGTCCGAGGAAGTCCACATGCGTACCCGATACCTCTTTGACGATAACCAGGCCATGACGCCCCTGTCCCAGATGCAGGCCACCAAGGACCTGCTGACGGAGGGTCAGCGTATTGCCTACGTTGGCCTGTGCCAGCTCATCATGGGGCGTATGATCAAGGACATGTCCCGCGGCTGGGAGGGGTATAAGATGAAGCAGCGCAACTTGCTCAAAGGCAAGGCGCGCGAGACCGATGTGCCCGTCGTTGAGAGCGGGAAGATCTGGATGATCAAGATCATGGCCCGGCTGTTCCAACACATGGACGTCGAGCGAGAGGGTGAGTTGGCCGAGGCTACATCAACTGACAGCACAGAGCAGCACATGATCGAGTCGCTGCAGGAGCACGGCGTCGACCCCGCCGACCTCGTCCCGGCACTTATGACGACGCACACGGTCAAGAATCCAGACTACGACCCCGAGGCGAGGAGACAGCGCGACATCGAGGAGGCCGAGGAGGCCGAGCGCCAGGCCGTCGCGCGGAAAGAGGCCGAGGAAGAGGAGGCGCGCAAGGCCGAGGAGAACCACGACGACATGCGGTCCGAGAGTGACGACATTGCCCACGACCCGGCACCTCCATATGCGGAGGTCGATCCTTCGCCTTCAACACCCCCCACCGTTCCGCCAAAGTCGGCCCAGGACCGGCGGCTATCCCCCCCCCGCCGACATCGCACGGCAGCAGCCTGTTCTCGTCGTCGGGCAATCCGTTTGACGACGGCGACATGGGCGACATGGGAGATATCGGAGACATTGGAGGATCACCCGGCGACGCGCCGCCGCCACCACCGCCGAAAGAGGACGCTGGTGATATCGGCGGCGACATCGGGCGGAGTAGCCTCGACTCGCCGGCGCCGCCAGAGAAGGCACCGCCGTCACCCGACGTCAACAAGACGCCGAAGCTCAGTAGCGGCGAGATGCTGTCTCCGGATCTCAGCAAGACGCCGAAGAGCGGCGGAGTCAGCGACGAGGGCACCCCGAGGGGCGTCCACACGCAGCTCCCCGGCGACGCCAAGCTGCCGGGAGACGTGCAGGCGGTCGAGCCACTGAAGCAAGGCACTGAGCACATGCCCTCTCTGCCTGGCGTCTCGACCACGATGTCGACAGCAGACGAGAACATTACACTAGACATCCGATGGACAGTGGTAAGTTTGCTGCTAGGCAACGAAACATCAGCTGACATCAGCTCTGCGACCTGTTCCTCGTGCTCGTCGCCGATTCGCTGTACGATGCACGATCACGGGCGTTCCTGGAGCGCGTCGCGAATGCCCTTGGGTTCGGCTGGATGGACATTGTGCGCTTCGAGAACCGTGTCACGGAGGCGCTCGAGCTCGAGGAGAGCGTCGGCCAGCTCGAGCAGGACGACGTCATTGACTCGCGAGCAAAGACCGCCAAGCGCAAGCGTTACGCGCTCATGGGTCTCGCCGCTGTCGGTGGTGGTCTCGTGATCGGTCTCTCTGCCGGTCTGCTGGCACCCGTCATCGGCGCTGGTCTCGGTGCCGCTCTGGGTACGATTGGTATCACGGGTACGACGGGTTTCCTCGCCGGTGCTGGTGGCGCGGCCATCATCACGACGACCGGAGTCGTCACTGGCGCGAACATTGCCGGACGCGGCATGGCGCGAAGAACGCGCGAGGTGCGGACGTTCGAGTTCAAGCCGCTGCACAACAACAAGCGCGTATCTTGCTACATCACCGTCGGAGGCTTCATGGCGAGTAAGGTGGACGACGTGAGGCTACCGTTCTCAGTCCTCGACTCTGCGGTCGGGGACGTGTTTTCTGTATTGTGGGAACCCGAGATGATGAGCGAGATGGGAGGCGCACTCAAGATTATCGGCACAGAAGTGCTGACCCAGGTCTCGCAGCAGGTGCTGCAGGCGACGATCATGACAGCGCTCATGAGCGCGCTGCAGTGGCCCCTGCTCCTGACCAAACTGGGATATCTCATCGACAACCCCTGGGCAAACGCCCTCGACCGATCCAGAGCGGCCGGACTGGTCCTCGCCGACGCGCTCATAGCACGACACGCCGGTATCCGACCCACGTCGCTGATTGGATTCTCCCTCGGCTCCCGCGTCATCTTTTATGCGCTGCTTGAGCTGCATCGTCAGAAGGCGTACGGTATCGTCCAGGACGTGTATATCTTTGGCAGCACCGTCACGGCCAACCGCCAGACGTGGCTCGAGGCGCGCAGCGTCGTGGCTGGCCGCTTCGTCAACGGCTACGCGACCAACGACTGGGTCCTCGGCTACCTCTTCCGTGCGACTACTGGTGGTCTGAACACTGTTGCCGGCCTGCGTCCCGTCGAGATGGTGCCGGGACTCGAGAACCTCGACGTCACGGACTGCATTACCGGACACATGAGCTACCGCTCGTCCATGCCGCAGCTTCTTATCAAGGCGGGCTTCCCCTGCACTTCTGACGAGTTTGACGAGCCAGATGTGAGTTTACTTGAATTCACTGGAAGTCGAACTGACAACCAGGACCCCGAGGTGGACATGTCGGTCAACGAGCGTATCACCGAGGAGGAGGAAGAGGCTCGACGGAAGAAGAAGATTCTCGGCATCTTCCCGCGCCGGAAGAAAAAGACGAAGCGACGCGGCTCGGACGACAGTGGTAGTACCATGTCGGGCACCGCGTCGGGGCGTGTCAGCAGCACGTACAACGACATTGACGAGGATGACATGCTGCCGCCGCGCGAGGAGCATCCCGCCGACAACACGGGCGGCAACACCGGCGCCGGCTCCGAGGAGCCGGAGGAGGCGGACCTTGGCGAGCGTCCGAGCCAGGCCGACATTGAAGCGGCCGAGGCCGCCGCCGCAGCGGAGAAGGAGGCTATCAGCCGCATTCCCGCGACAGCCGGATTCGACTTTGCTGCCATCTCGCGCGAGCTCGGCAAGGAGGTCGACCCGGACAAGCCTGTCGGTGCGACGAGCCCGCGTCCTGTTCCGGCGGTGCGCTTACCCTCGCCACTGAACCGAACGGGCTCCGCGCCTCCTCCGCTCCCGCCGACGCCGGACGAGCAGCCCACCCCGCCAGCGCCACAGCGGAGCAACTCGGCCTTCGATGGGCGGGACAGTTCCGCCCTCGGCCTACCAGTCGACGACGACGGCGACATTGCCATCACGGCGCAGAAGCTCTCAGTGCAGGACGCATGGGACCGGCCGGCGTGGCCCGAATCGAGCCCAAACCTCGCCGCGAGCCCCGCGCGTGCGCCGAGTCCCCCGCCAAAGGGCTTGTTCGGGTTCAACGCGTGGGCATCGAGCACGTCGCCGAGCGGCTCCCACTCGCCCCTCCCGCCCTCCGGCTCGTACGACATGGACGGCAAGCTCATGGCGCCGCCTGCGCGTCCCCATCCCGCCGAGTTCACAAACCCCTTCGCGAGCAGCGGCATGGGCGCCCTTGGCCCCAGTCCTATTGGCGAGCCAGCCCACGCCGCGGGGTGGAACAAGCGCGCCGCAGACGACGAGAAGATGGCACTGGAGAACCCGTGGTAGCCGCTGCCTGCCGATACGCAGGCCAGGCGGTAGGCAGGCCAGGTCGCAGGCAAGCGGCAGTCCGAGTGACCTGTTTCGCCATTGATGACGAGCCACCCCGCGCTTGGCATTCCGCTCCACGATCCACGACCTTCGGCGCCGAGCACATCTCAACCCCTAACTCTTAGACTTAATAATGACGGCTTGTTGAGCGACATTGCGATCATTTGTGCCCAGCCTTAGCTCCATAGACAGCATATATGGGAGGAGGGGAGTGGACTGTTAAACGCGGGCAGCGAGCGGACAGACGGGCGCGTCCGCAAGCTACCTGTACTCGGTGCGGGCTGCGGAGGAGGTGCGCAGGTGAGCATCGAGCACGCGAGCACGCGTTGAGCAGGGGCACGTGATCGACGAGGAAGGAGGGCCCGCTCGGCCGCGCTCGACCATGTATAGTAAACAATCGCACAACCTTATGCATTCAGTGCTGCAGGATGGCCGCAGGAAGGGCTCGGAAGGGGCGCTGAGGTGCTGACCGAGCTACGTCGCTCCGCCGTATCGGGTGGCTTGCATGGCTTGGGCGGATGACGTCGGCGAGGGGCAGCGAGGCCAGCTCTTCAGTCTTCAGCGCTGCTTGTCTCTCAGATCTTTTGCACACCAAACCTGCAGGCTTGGAGAGATAAGCCATGTGTCCAGTCTCGTCTGCATTTGCTCTTGCAGGACGATATTCATTCATATGAGGCGAAGATGAGTTGTGAACGGTAGAGAGAGGGGGGAACGGAGTTCCGTGGAAAGCTGTAGAAACGGGGCTCGGTGCGGGTCGCAGGACTTGAAATTGATATCCTCATGTCGCTTCGTCCCGACACCAAGCCCTTATGGCCCCTTCGCGCCAAGCTTTGACCTGGCCCGACCTGGCTTGGAAGCGAGCGGCGCTCGCGAACAAGTGCTCGAAATAGCAGAGCGAAAGAGCGGGCAGGTACACGAGGTGCAGCGGAAGGCAGCTTGGGGTGTAAGATTTCAGTCCTTGTTCAGGAGCGAGACTGTAGAAGGACTCAGGGACAAAACCAGGCGGCTACTCCGATGACGAGTCAAATGTCTCTATGTAGCGGAGCGGAGTCTCGAAGTCTCGATTCCTCGGACTCGATCGCACCTGTGCAGGCTAGAGCACATGTTCATCGACCCACTCGAGTAAATTTGTCTCTCGAACACTTTCGTCTTGAGGACCAACGAAGAATCATTTTGCATGGAGAAGCACATGTCCATCCATGTGCTGATAAGCCGGACCCACGCACTCTCGCTCGTCATCACGGATTGCTATACTATAATTCAGATTAAACGAAGCAAAAGCAGGCAAGCGGTGACGACGGCCGCGGAGCAGGAGCACGGGGGTGTGCGTCGCTCTATCGCCACCGTCACAGGGACGAACGAAAGCCGTGCCTGAGTTCCGACCAGAATCGCTCCGCCTGCTCCGTCCTGCCTCTCGAAGAGGGCTGCAAGCCTCCCGGACCGGACGGGCGGCGCAGAAGGAGGACTAGACCGACGCACCGAAACTGGCTCCTGCGGACCTGCTCGACCCCCTTGCCCTGGTAGGGCCACCGACCCTGGCTTACGGCCTCATCATCGTCACTTTTGCACGAATCGTCGATTGTCGTATTCAGAACAGGTGCAAGTTACTGGATTTGGACATGGTGCTGCTCTGCATGATCGGGCGCAAGCGGGCAGATCTGGGTGCTTCTGTGATACCCTCGTGGTAACTCGCTGATTACAAAGCAATGCCGTCGGAGCTTCTGTAGTTCTGAATGATTGTCAAGCACGCCGCCTTGTCTCTGTGTCTGGAGTTGGCATACCAGGACAGGCACGACTTTTCCTCAATGACGGCATGCTTTGTTGCAATAAAGCAGAAATGTAGCAAGCGAAGGAGGGAGAGCCCGCGACGCCGTAAGCCAAAAACAAACAAAAAATTCCAGCTTGCCATCCGCAGGCGCGCGGGTCGTCGTCGCCTTGAGCTTTTCAGGGTCCACAGAATGAAGAACTCAGGGGAAAATCCGACATCGACTGGCCTCGTGGGTGCTTCTGCAGCTTCTTGTCTTTCGTGCGCGGCGGATGCTGCTCTCCTCTGAAGGGCAGGAGCAGGCTCGGTCGGGCAGTCGGCCAGGGACGGGTCGCTGTCCCTGCACCAGCCGGGGTAAATACCCAATAGGCCGCATGACTCACGACTTGCTGGGTAGACGAGATACGACCACGGCCGTGGAGGAGCAGCTTGCATGCGGGGATGCACCGTAGGGCCTACCGTTTACCCAGGATGAGCAACTTTGCATGACGGACTGGAGCATCATCGGCCAAACACAACGGTACGAACAGGAATATAAGTATATACGCCCTCGGTCATGACTGCTCCCCCATCCTCTCATCCTTCACTGTATCCTCTCCTTAATAGCTGGGTTGCGACCGTCACCCACACTCTTATAACTACACCTCTACCACCACCTTAATCCCTACCTTACTCCTCGAGTCCACCACCACCATGGCCAAGTACTCTCCGTAAGTGTTCTCCACAGCTGTTTAAGAGTCTTTTGCTGACAGGCAGCACCGTCACCCTCAAGGGTCCGATGAACGGCTCGCTCCTCGTGTTCGCGTACACGTCCTTCATCATCTGTGTTGTCATGATCCACCGTGACAAGGAGCTGTTCCACTCGTACCCCGCCGCCGTTGTCGCCCAGATGGTCTGCGCGATCGTCCAGATGATCTACATGTTCGTCTACTTCCTCAAGTCGCACTCCAAGATCTACTCGGTCCGCAACATGTTCATCGTCAACGGCCTGCTCATGCTCTACTGCTTCGGTGCCTCCATCGCTATCACCGTCCTTGGCAAGCGTCACGGCGACGGCTACTGCCCCGGCGACACGCCTGCCGCCCACGACTGCCAGGGCGTCCTCCGCGGTACCATGGGCATGGCCTGGGTTCTCTGGATCTGGAACATCTTCTGGATGGCCATCATCGCCATGATCGTCTCCACCACCAACTCGTCCTGGTCGGAGCCCCTCGGCAACGTCCCCGTCATCGACAAGGTCGAGGAGGAGGCTCCCAAGCACTAAGCGCGTAAGCGAAGTGCGAGCGCAGTGAGCGCTGAGCTTCCTCAACCCAACCCCTCCGACATACCTCCTTAATCCCTCACCCGCTGCTCCCACCGCATGAGACAGCATCACCACATCTTATCGCACTCCTTCCACCACCACACACCATCATAGCCCCCCTTTCCACCCCCTTATAAGATGTATAATAGCCTCTCCAATCCCCTTTAATACGACACCATCTCTTCGCATTTTTCGCAATCAACCGCATTCTCTGCATTTTTCGACTAGGTTACATATGCATATCGGCATTGCAACTGGGACACTCGAGGCGAGGCGAAACCGAGCCCGACGCAGCAGCGAGCGCTCTCCACTGACAACCTTTGATGAGCACGGTGGTTGGGGGAGAAAAAGTCTCTCGACCCAACGTCTCAGCAGAGTCTGACAATGCAACAAGACCGAGGTGGACACCAGCTGACTTGTGCATGACTCGCAAGTTGCGTTATCAGCCGAAAAAGCCACAACCCAACAACAGCTCCAAGCCGAGTGACGTATGCCCTCCGAAACACCCAGGCAAAAGGTTCGGACGGAACGCCCCGCGGAGGTGCACGGCTGGGCGGGGTGCGCCTGGAGGTGATGGGGCCTGGAATCAGGGTCCACCTGAGACATTCTGCCTGGACGAGGGAGGGCGGACCAGAGTTCTTCTTCTGCACGTGCTGTTCAGGGACAAGGCACTCGACACAGAGGGAAGGACGCACGCATGCTTAACGAGCCGTGAGGAGCCGCGTAGGTCCAGAAACTCCATCTTCCTTGCTCGCGAATACATCGTCCCGTCCACTTGGGGCCTGTAGCATCTCTGGTCCGCTACTTTCCTAATCGGGCTCGATAGGGCTCGATAAGGGGGAAGGATGCTTGTTCTGCCTGCCATTGCGAACCATCGCCTTGTGAGCGGACAGCTATGGGACTTATTTGTTTGGTTCCTGTTTCGGTGGATCGAAAGTGTCAGGAGCGACGCGGTCTCGCTTCCACCTCACCCAAACTGGACCAACAACGCGTGAGCTCGCCGCGGATGCCAGCCATTGCGAGTCACTCTGGCGAGCTTGTTACCGCCATCGCACAAGTTCGCTAAAGATAAGAAGTACAAGCGGTGCCGCGCCGACTTTGACGGGCACGCTAGACCGCAGACTGGCAACTATTTTCCCCACTTCAGCACAGGGCGGACGGGCTGGAACAAGTACATCTCCATGATCGGACTGTGAAATCGCGTGCCTCGGACTCCCGCTGCTTCCTTGCTTCGGACTGACATCTTTCGGGTGACCAGTTGGAAGGTGGAGATGGGGTTTGTTTGGTTCCGATGTCCGATATCGGCGACCGTCCACCCCTCTGCAAGGGTCTCGTGATATAAGACGTGATGGGCACTCGTAGACTTGATCCAACACCCCAGATCTCAACACACTCTCTGTACTTCCAAATCTCACTTGCTCGCGAATCGGATCACGGTCCGAGTTGGCAGGTACTGGGAACTAACTGGAGCTGGATCACATGCGTCGCGGTGAGTAAGGGTTTTGGTGTGGCATTTTCAACGAGTTTCAGACGCAACACAGACGCTCTCATCACAGTCACACTTTGCATTACTTCATTTCCAAACTACTTTCTTGACTATATTGCCTGACTACATTTCTCACTAACTACTGCCTGACCGTTGCCAGGCGAGGGTTGCGTTCCGCAATCGGCCTGCGCCTAGATGCCAGCATGGCACGCCTCGTTGGTGTCGACCGTTTCGCACTTGGTCCCATCGATCGCGAGCCCATTCTCGTCTTTGAGGGGGTACTCGACGCGTCCATACTCCCACTCGTCGCAGTGCTCATTGATGCAGCTGCTCCTGCAGAGCCTGCTGCGGGTGTTGGCGATACCAATCTTGGTCTGGACGAGGAACCGGCCGTACGTGCCCCCCGGGTACTCGCAGTTGGCAGTCGCGGAGCCAGAGAAGGACTGCGTCCACTCATACCCAAAGTTGAGGCCGCTGTTGCCCGTGATGTCGCTTGCGACCTGGCCTGCGGAGGAGGCGTCCAGCCCAAAGCTGATCGTGTACGACGTCTCCCATCCCACTGACTCTGCAAATGTGCAGGAACCCTCTGAGCCGGAACAGTCGAAGCAGTGTCGGGGCGCATAGCCCGACCAGCCTTGCTCCGTGCTCTCGACCTCGGTCACGCGGTATTCCGCGTTGGGGCACGAGCCTGTGCCTTGTCGCTTGGCGAGGGAGGAGTCGTGGGGCGTCACGAGCTGGTAGAGGGCTCCGCCGGAAGAGAGGGTGTCGCCCTCCTTCGCGACGGAGAGCCAGGCGTGCAGGTCGCGGCGCTGAGCATCGGGGCCGTCAACGGGCATCCCGAGGGAGAGGGGCAGGAGGCTAGCAAGAACGGGGAGGAGGAACACGTTGTATGTTTCGGGGTTTGAGGGCTGGTGTTACTGAAGAGGGGGAGGAGTTGTCGACTGATGATCTGGAAGACTCGCTGCGACGGCTCTTATATACCTTTCAGAGGCTCGTCAACGTCTCTCATCAAACAGCCAGCACTGAGCTGTAGTGTATGACAAGCCGTTCGGTCATCACTGTCTTCCGGCTGCGCCCTAGTACTCGTACCGGTTCTCCGACGCCGCGCGGCCACTAACACTTTCCTCATGGACCAACTCATCTCGAGAACACTAATCACCTTGGCTGATGTCATCCTCCTCCTCTTGGGCCACGCCATGCCATCCGGGAACACTGTTACTTCACCCCAATCAGGATAGTCCTCCTTCCTAACCCATGACAATGATTGCGGAGATAGACCTTTATCGTTATCAGACGGGCAATGATCGCCGACGGACCGCAATCACCGCGAGACCTCTGTCACAATCCTCAAATGTTCGGCGTCTCGGACCGAGGGAAGCTTCTCTCGTTCGCCGCCACACGTTCTCGAAGGGCACGGGGGTCTCGAGTAATACTCCCTGATCGAAGTCAAATGACACCGGTACACCGTCATCGGAGGCGGCGGCACTGCCTCAGGGCCACTGACGCGCACACGGTCGGCGTTAAAGGAGAGGGTAGCGGCGGCGATGACGGCGAAGGGGTGAAGGTCACGAGAGGGAGTCGTGAGGGATCACAATGAGAACTGAAATGGCGGTGTGAGGAACTCTTGCCCTCTCCGGCTCTCACGCTGCGGTACATACCGTCGCAGACCGTCTAGGCAGAAGAGCGGAGGGGAGGAGTAGTGCGATCCGATCACGGATGATCGCCTCGTGATCGTGTGCCGGTGTCAGGCTGCCGCCGGCGTGACATGCCCTCGACATTGATCTACTCCGTCCGGTAACTGGGCAGGAGGATGCGCAGCACGCGGTGAGCACGGCATGTAAGCTGTGCTCCACCCTTGGTCACGAGGACGTCATGCCGTGTTCTGTGGACGGTGGCACACTGCCCCCCCCCCCCTCCCGGTGCCCCCTCACCCCATCCGCCGCTACATGGCACCCCTGCCAAGCCCCATGCGCCCCATGTTCAGACCTTGCATGCTATGCATAACTCATTTGACATCGTTACGAGCCAGCACCTGTATCAATTTGTCAAACGTTGGCTTAACGCTCTCTGACGTTTGCAACCATTGACCCACATGGATCCAGTGAGCGGGCACATGTCCATGCCCGCTGCTTTAGCGCCGTTAGCGCCTCGGCGCATGTCATCGTCGTCATGATCGGGTCGCTGTCTGCAGCTTCCGCTCGGCTTCTCTTGTGCTGTGGGGCACACACTCGACGAGTCTGCAAGTGTTTCGGGGTGACTACCCGACACCTGACACCTCCTCACATGAGCTCACACGAGCCCACATGCCGCAAGGCGTGTGAGGGAGGCGGTCAGTATTCTCCGAAACGTAGTCACTCCAGCTCCGCGCATGCGAGTTTCCGAACTTCCAAGACACACAGTCACATGAGCAATCGATTCCCGGGGATGGGTGAGCTCGATCAACACAGGTATACCCACCCCGTGATGGTATGGCGATTCTTCTAGCTTCCTGGCTTTCGAGACCACATGTGCAGTGGTTCAGTGGGTTTCGACATCGAGTCTGAACCCTCTCCCACTATCCAACATCGCCCGTGTGGAATCATTCCACTTCCAAAGTACGATATATGTACTTCTGGTATGGACTCACATTTACCTTAGTCTTACCCCAACTCCTCCAGCTAAATACTCACATGTACGCGGATCGAGAGCAAAGCGGAGCACTGGCAACGCAAGATTCTAAGGTATACATGTCCTGATACAATACAGCAAGATAAGATAAGACTCGATCCCAGCTTTAGCTAAGAGGTCTACTAAACCTCCCTCCCAATAGCGATCCTGAATCCCTCCATCACCACGTCCCGATCCGTCTCGCTATCCGCAAACATGAAGAATTCCTCCCCCTTTTCTCCCTTAATCTTCCACGCCCCCCTCACCTGGGATTCCTCATACACGTCGTGGTCGATCTCCGTCTTCCCTCCCAACGTCACCGTGTTGATGGGACTGTCGTCCCCCTCGCCCTTGAACAGGCGTAATTCTCGCGCGAGGAGGAGGAAGTACCGCCGCCGCCACGTGCCCACGCCTTGCACCGTTACCCAGCCGCGGAGCATGACGCCCCCCTCTGCGTGGCCGCGTACGAGCTGCCGGCGCACTTCGGCCTGCTGCTCGTCCCTCCTTGCTGCCTCCTGTGCTCTCCGGGCCGCTTTCTCAGCCTCTTGACGCTGGCGCTCGGCCTCTTGCCTCTGCTGCGCGGCGAGGCGCTCTGCCTCGCGTTTCTCCGCCGCGGCCTTTTTGGCGGCAGCGCGCTCGGCGCGTTCCGCCTCAAGTCGCGCCTCCTCGGTCGCTTCGGCCGCTTCCGCCTCGAGCCTCGCCTCGCGCTCGGATTCCGTCTCCTCGTCCAGCGGCTGCTCGTTCACGTCGAGCGGCTCGAGGCCGCGGGGCGAGGCGAGGAACGAGTTGTCCCTTGACATGCGGGAGGGCGGCTCGAACGAAGTCCGCGAGACGCGCGCACTCCGCTCAAAGCTCGTGCGCGACCCGTTCGAGCGCGTCGAGCGCATCGTGTCCCGGCTCAGGCGGGGTTCGAACGTCGATGCGCGGTAGAGGCTGCCGCGCTCGCGCTCGCTCAGCTGTCCGAACGAAGTACGTGCGCGCTCGCCGCGCTCGCGTTCGGGCGACTTGGCAGACCGCTCATACGACGAGCGCGGGGACACGACACTGCGCACATCCGGCTCGAGCGAGACCTTGCTCTCGCGCACGTCCGAGTGGGAGCGGACGGACTCGGAGGAGAAGACGGTCGCGATGCTGTCGCGCGTCTGCGAGCGGGGGACGTCGGGCGAGCGCGAGCGCGGGGGCGAGCCGCACGACGAGAGCGACTGCATGCTCTCCCGTGTGCCGAGGTCGCGCGAGCTGAGGCGCTGGTGCGGCTTGGGCCGCTCTGCGAGAGAACTGCGGGGCAGGATCGGGCGTCCGACGTCCGGCTCCGTGAAGCTGCGCGTGCGCTCGGAGGACTCGGAGATGCGGCCCGGGCTGAGCGCCTCGTCGTCGCTGAGTCCTGTCGAGGACGCGAGCGACTGCACGCGCGAGTCGTAGTGCTGTGTCGTAGGGCTGAGGGGGTTGCCGCCGCGGTTCTGGGCGCGCTCAGTCTCGAGACGGCGCCACCGCTCCTGCGCCTCCTCCTGCTCGGCCATGTTCTTCAGGCGGATGTTGGCGAGCGCGTCCTCAGCCGAAATGTTTGAGACAGTGCGGCCCTTCTTCGCTGGCGGGGTATAGCCGAGTCCGCCAGAGGGGGTGCGGTACGAGTTGGGCGGGAACTGCATACCGAGACCGAGGCCGTGCAGTGCCTCCTTCTCGTGCAGGTGCTTGAAGTCGTCCGAGCTAATGCCGCCGGGGCTCGTGCCCTTCATCGGCTGGTGACCGCCACTGTTCGAGCCGGCACGCAGGCGGAACGCGCGTCCGAGCGAGCCCTGTATGGACGAGCGGTTCGGGTTGGGCGAGTTGGAAAAGTTTGACACTGTCGGCGAGGGTGGCGAGGCGATCGGAGACGAGCCGGGGAGGAAGTCGGGGCGCTGCGCGCCGTGCTCTCCGTTCGACTTGGAGCGGAGTGCGAGGCGCAGCTTCTGCGAAAGGGATGAGTGGCGGTCAAGCGACGACGGCGGGCTCGTCGTGATCGTAGGCGACGTCATCTGCGGCGTCTCGGGGTATCGCTGCTCGCGCAGCAGGGCCGCCGAAGACTCGAGCGACGGGCTCGTACCGGCGGACAGCTGTCGCGGGGCGTTGACGAATTGCGGCGAGACAGCCGAAAAGTGCTCCGTGTTCATGGGCGGGCTGAGGGTTGCAGACTGTTGGATCTGAGGAGAGTCGTTCAGGTCGACGACGTCCGCGGCAGGGGGCGCCTTACGCTTGATGCCGTTCTCCTTCTTCTCAGACTTCTCGATCGGCGCGATCTTCGCGTCCTCCTCCTTTATCTTGTCCTCGTCCTTTGTCTTGTCCGTACCTTTTGTCCTGTCCTCAGCCTTGTCCTGAGATGTGGATGACGTTTCCCTGGACGACCCGCCCTTTTCCGTAGTTGTTCTTGATGGCGTGTCGGCAGTGATGATGACCATACCCTCGACGGGCCCAGTAATGTCGCGGGCAGACCGATAGTCGCCGTTGAGCATCACGGGCGAGGGCAGCGGGAGGGACGCCTGGGACGTGTGCGAGCTGCTGGGCGCGGACGTCTTGATCGGGGTCAGCCGTCCGTTGGACAGAGAGACGGAGCGGGCGGTCGAGTGCCGGGCGACGGCGGCGTTAACGACGGACGCCTGGGAATGCTCGAAGTCGTGCGAGCCCGCCGAGTCCTCCATGTACGGGCGGTGGTTGTGTCCAGAGTCGGATGAGATGCGGCGGGACATGCGGGCCGAGAACTGCGACAGGCGGTTCGACATGCGCTGCGACAGCCGGCTCGTGGTGCTGTCCCGGCTGCCGACGGGCATGTTCATGCGCGCCATGAAGTCGGAGCTCAGCGAGTGTCGCGGGCTAGCGGCGCTGACGGGGCTGATCGGGCTGCGGGGACTGATGGGCGTCGTGGGGCTGAGCAGGCCGGGACTGAGCGGACCCTTCGGAACGGCGGTCTTGTCAGACCCAGCCGCAGACTTTGGCGGGATGACGTTCAGCATCGTCGCAGTCAGTGGGAGAGGTGGAGGGACCTTCTTCGGTATGATGCGGGTCGGCGGCTCCTTTTTCTCAATAGGCATGAATGGCGATACGGCGGGAGGTCCAACCGGCGTAGTCGGCGTCGAGCGCTGCAGGCGCTCCAGGTCGGACGACACGCTCTCCTTCTTCAGAGCCTCGATGAGGGCCTGGTCTATCGGTGGCGCTGGCTTGCGATTGCCCGAAGGAGTCTTGCGGTGCCCGATGCTCCTGCCAGAATCTGGGGTCGCGACGCCGCTCGTGTCCGTCGATTGGGACTGGGACAATGACAACTGCCTGACCGCTGGGTGGCTCAGTGACTCCGGCAGTTCGGCCGGCTTGGCGCTGTCGTCCTTTGCATCTTCGTCGTTGGTCTGCCGCTTCTCCTCGGGCTTCGGTGTCGTCGACTCAGCGGACGGGACAGGTTCGGGGCTCGGCACGCGGCGGGAGCTAGTGACCATCGGAGGAGTGCTGGTGGTACTGTTGGACGCAGAACGCATTGGCCGGGAACCGAGCGGCCGCTTGCGCTCCGACGAGCCGGCGGCACTGGCAAGCGAGTTGATCGACGGCGTCCTCGATCGCCATCCAGCAGTGACGTTGGGGCGGTTGCGGCTGGCCGAGTCGAGCGAGTTAGATCGGCCGAGTGAGCTGCGGGTGCTCTCGACTGATGGCCGTCGGTTCGACTCGAGCGATGGTCGTTCTGTTGTCGACTCCAAGGTCGGCTGCTCGTTGGCCTGCGCGACAAAGGCAGAGTTCAGAGCGCGACGCGAGGATCGGCGGACGGGAACTTGGGCGAGCTGCGTCCTCTCGACGACTGGAGCGTTGTCCTGCGTGTGCGCAGCGAGGGCCTGCCTCGCTGCAAACGCAGCTCCGACGCCAGCCATGCCCGCGACCCCTCCGACACCGGTTCCTCCCGTAGCCTGGATATCCTTGGTCGGGTGTAACTCGGGTTCAGCCAGGAACTCGGCGCTCTCGTGGCTCGGCACTGGCGGTGGGGCCGGCATCGTAGGCGAGAATACCGAGACGGGTGACACTGCGGATCGCCCGCCCTGGCTCGAGCCTGCCGAGCTCATGGACGCGCTCCGGTGCAGTGTTCGCGGGACGTCGGGCATCGGAGGCGAAGTCGCCGTTGACGCCTGCTTCGGCGAGCTGCCGGGCTGAGGAGAGCTGTTGTTGGTTGCGTTCAGCCGGGAGAACGGGCTCTGCTTGGCGGTGCCGTTCAGCTTGCTGGGACCGTCAGAACCCAGCCGCGGTGAGCCGTTGACTCGGGCGGTGGAAGCCAGAGACGGAGGAATGCTGGTACGCGACGACGAGCGCGAAGGCAGCGCTCCGTCGGGCAGAACTTCGGCCGTCTGAGGGGTCAGTCGTCGAGGAGGCGGAGGAGGTTGCGGTCGCTGAACGTCCGCTGTGGGCAGTGGTCGAGCAGCCACCGGGGCCGGCTCGGCAGCTGTTTCAGGCAGCTTGGCAGGTGACGGCACATGTGGTGCGTCTGTCGCGTGTGGTTGCGGGGTGGGCGTTTTCTGCGACGTCCTCTCCTGGTCTGGCTCCTCGATCTCCGTCTGTGCTGGCGGTCGGTCCCGGGGCGCCACCAGGCCGAATGTCTCGCTGCCCGAAGCAGGAACCGTAGTCTCCTGCACAGGCAGGGACTCGTCCTTAGGCGGCTGCGGCGAAAGGGGCATCGACTTTGGTCGGTCCGGAATCGGTGACTCGTCAGGCGACAGCGGCCGTGACGGTGGTCGTGATAGCCGCCGCTCGCTCGACCAGTCGCGCTCCGGGTACGGCGAGTCGGCCAGAGACGAAGGTAGTGGCGAGTCGAACGTCGTGTCCGTCAGGGCAGAGGTCGTCACAGGCGTGACAGGCGCCCCGTCGCTGAGGTCCTTTGTTGACACAGACAGCAAAGGAGGAGGGGCTAAGGCGCTGCGACCGAGCCCTTCGCGCAGGAACGTCTCGTCAGACATCGAGTCGCGCTCATGCCGAGTCGCGGCCGCTGGCGGGGTCGCGGGGTTAACGACGGACGCAGCCGATGATGACTCGGCGAGAGACGTGCGGACCGCTGTTGGGATCTGCGGGAGTACCCCGCGGCTCTTCTCAGCGGGCGGCTCAGCGGTCGGCGCCTCTTGCGGTACTGGTGCCGGGACAACAGAGACAGCAGCGATTGGTGGCGTGGGAAGGGGGTTGGCGGCAGGAGCTGTAGCGGTGGGAGCTGGGGGTGCAGGCGTCGGGATCTCAGCGGGGGCAGGTGCTGGTGAAGGCTGGGGTGGTCGTTCTGATGGCGGAGAAGCGACCGGCACAGCGGGCTGAGGAGTCGACTGCTCCGATGGGGCAGGAGGCGCAGGCTTCGATGGCTTCCTCTTGATCGATCGTGCGCGAGCGGCCGACTTTGGGGGTGCTGGCGGGGGACCTGTTGGGGGAGCAGTTGGGGGAGGAGTCGCTGCTGGCGTCGGCTGCTGCGTGGGTTCGGGCGTGCGCTCCATCGGCTTCGGGGGCTGTTCGGGCTTGAGCTCTGCTGTCGGAGCACGAATGACGGTTTCCGATACGGGTGCGGCGGCAGGCACCGGGGTGGCTGCCTCGACCTTGTCTCCATTTGTGACTTCTGGGACCTCTAGCAATGCGGCCGTAGTGCTGCCCGGCGGCGAGGCGGTCGAGACGGTTGACGGGTCCAAGCCCAGCTGCTCCGCTATGAGCTCTTCTGTAAACTGGCCCGTCTTGTTGATCGTAGAGAGCGCGAGGTAGTCCTGGGAGAATGTCAGCGGCGTCCAGTGCAGGAGGACAGACGGCAGCGACTTACCGGGAAGAGCGCTGCAAAGGTTCGCGAGTGGACGATCGCCTTAGCGCGCTTGACGACACTGAGAGTAGTTAGCGACGGCAGCGATAACACCGGATGTTTGAATGCGCTGGGACGCTCTAAGTCTGCTCCGCCCGGACCAGCAGCTGGAGTTGCTTGACGACCGATCGGAATCGATCCGACAGCGTTCGCGCCGCGGGCGCTCAGATCTCATGGCCCATCGCGTCGAATTTGGAGAAGGGCGACGTCGCACTGCAGCTCGCGGGCGCGGCAGTTGATGTCCATTCCCATGCCGGAGGTAGCGTGCCGACAGTCCAGTGGGGCTGGTTCGAGGCGGAGCATCGTGCAGCTGCGATGGTTCCTGGGCAGCTCCAGCGGACCGATGGCTGAAAGGAGGAGGCCGAAAAAGTCGATGGTAGACTTACCTGACAGTATTGCCTAAGCGGAGGATGACGAGGCCCTTCCCCTGCACCGAGGCGTAGGCAAAGGTCGCGTCGGCCTTTGCGACGGCGTCCGAGTCGAGCAGTCTCCGCAGCGGCGGCAGCGCGGGGTCGGACCCCGCCTCGATCAGCACAATCTTGGGCGTTCCTGGCGCAGCGTAGCCGGCGACGAGCCTGGATGGAGTCAGTAAAGGGTCACTCCGAGTGTGTGCTCTTGGGTGCTCACCATGTCATTGGGTCGTCGTTGGCGTGGACAGCCTGGACTGCGGCGACGAGGACGGGGTCGGAAGTGTCTGCGGACATGGTGCAGCTGTGGATGCTGGTGGAGGCGGGGTCAGGCGAGGTGTCAGGCGGTGCGCCTGCGCCTCGTGGTGGGAGTGTCGGCGGTGATGATGTGGCCGGCGGGGGTGGTGATGGAGGTGGTAGTAGTGATGGAGTGCGATGGGATGGAGACAAAAGGTTGAAAGTTGGATGGAGGTGGTGGTGGAGATGGGGGTTTGTGGGTCCAGGTGGTGCAGGAAGGGGAGAGCCGGTTCAGGTCCAAGGTGTGTCGATGTGACCCTGAGGGTCTCTGGTCAGGATGCTTCGGCTGTGGACCCTGGGGCTTTCTGCGGTGGATAAACCTCTTGCGCGCAGCTTGTGATCCGATTAAGCTCGGTAGTGTTCTGCGGCTCTGGCTCTGGTGCGATGGCCCCGGATCCAAGATGCGATGGAGATGCTCGTTGATGGATGACTGAGTGGTTTGTGCTGGAGCAAGGACATGGCAAGGACATCAAGGGGCCGGGCGCGGGGCGTCGGCGCGTCGTGCGTGTGCGCTGATGCGTCTGTCTCGATGTCTCTGCCTTTGCCTTAGTAGCAACTTGTTTGGGTCTCGGGTGCTTGTGCGTCCAAGGAAGGGATGGTTCCTCAAAGTCTTGTGGTACGTGGTGGGGCACGAGCTTAAATCGAGCAAACGACGCACCAGCGAGCACTGGGCCAGCGTTTGCGAGCAGAACAACCTCCATGGCGTCAACCCACAGACCTCAACCAGCCAAAAGCCAGTTAAGCCAGGGTTCCCCGCTAGCGCACCGTGCGCAGAGACCCACCACCCCTTCATCGCTTCTGTCCGTTGTCATCACCTCTCAATTCTGCCGGCATCATGCTCGCGGATATCACTTGTCTCCGTGCCATCATCCCAGACTATCGCCAGAAGCCAGCTCCGATGCCATCTCGTACCCTCTCGTCATCCCCCAGCTCCAGATCCGATCCCCCCCTACTCATGCGACATACCTTCCTTCCCATCCTACCGTCATCCTTCGCACCCCCCGAACACCTCGCACTTGCCGAGAACAGCAAACCCGACGCAGTCATCTGCAATCTAAACCACTAACCCCCGAGCCCCGAGGTCTGACATTTGCATCCTTCAGGACGGATGTGATCGACTGCGTCTGTTCGCACCATCGCTCATGTTCGGGAAAATCGCCATGTCATATGTCCCCAAGAGCCTAACAAGCACGCTGCCGTGCAGGACATGTTTGTGCAATTCATTTATGCCGCACGCTCCCCCAGGTCTCTAACCTGTTAGCGTCGCAATGTTGCTACGGGCCTTGATGGGCTCAGCCGTAGCTTGACAAGGTTATAGTCAGCTCGCACGCTCATTGCGCAGCACCCAGTGGGGCTCTGAATATGAAGCAAAACCTGAAGTCAACGTCCCGGGACGGCGCCGTGGCGTCGACCCTTGGAGCCGGAGCCTAACAAGCACGCTGCCGTGCAGGACATGTTTGTGCAATTCATTTATGCCGCACGCTCCCCCAGGTCTCTAACCTGTTAGCGTCGCAATGTTGCTACGGGCCTTGATGGGCTCAGCCGTAGCTTGACAAGGTTATAGTCAGCTCGCACGCTCATTGCGCAGCACCCAGTGGGGCTCTGAATATGAAGCAAAACCTGAAGTCAACGTCCCGGGACGGCGCCGTGGCGTCGACCCTTGGAGCCGGGTACGGTGTGGCTTGGCCTGAGACTCGCGCTGCAGGCCTGTAGGCCGCCAGATCTGTATATCTGGATGCCCACGTCAACGCGATGAGACACCACTGGCATCTGGTGTCAGTTTGCAGGAATGCGACCAAGCGTACAAGCGCGCCGGAATCTTGCATTTGGGAAGCGAGACGCGACCCGACGCGTCTGGATTCATGAGTGATGTGCATGGCGGCCCGCGACGCGTCCGATCTGCAGTGAATGAGTCACACCGTCACTTTGGGAGTGCGACGGCCTTCGTGCAACTCTATCGATCCTGCGCGGTCCTACACCCTGCATTTCCTCTGTGTGTTCTGATCCAGCGAAAAGCCAATGTTGCGTCTGCATTGCTGCCAACTAGGGCAAAGGTGAAATCCAAAGTGGAGGCAAGGGCAGGGCCGACCCACCTGTGACATTGGGCCCTGAGCGCTGCTTTGGATGCTCGAAACGATGGATGGCATGAGGGGGCTGCCTGGATGTCCCATGTTCGCGGGGGGGATGCGTACGCCTCCAAAGTGCCGGGTTAAACTTCAAGAATGCCGTTCCTCTCGTTCCTGCGTTCCTCATCGTGCCTGCACCTCCACCCGCCAGGCAGTCACTCAAGTGCATGTCCACTGGAAACGAGCAAACTTTGTGTCCATCAGAGTTCAACTTTACATGAGATTCTGGCCGCTCTTTGCCGCCTGGATCATCGGCGTGACCACTCTCCTGCACAGGCGTGCCACCTCATAGCAAGGTGTGCTCGAGCTACCACTGGCTCAGTGGATCAGTGGGCGGAAGAGACAGGTACAAAGTTGGGTCTAGAAAAACTCTCTTTGGTATTTTGCTGCGCTTGCTCAGCGTTCGGACGCTGGCCCGCTGGCCCGTCTAGACTATAGACTCCAGATCAACTGCGTCGAGGAAAAGCTCGTCCATGCGAAGGGTGCTGCAACACGTGATACACATCCGACATTGTGGCAGCCGTGGGAGACGTTGAAACTAGCGAAGCCGTTCTCTAAACTCGGTCGCCTTTTACCTCAAGCTGGCCACGCTGGCGCCCGTGGGAGATCCAAGATCTCGTGAAGGCACTTATGTACTTACGCCGAGGAACTATCGTGGGAGAGCATGAATCTAGCAAAGGCGTCCTCCAGAGCTTGGTCCTTGGGTCCATGTCTGGTGTGTCAACAGAACAGCTGGCAGTCGTGGGAGAGCTCGAACTGGCCGAGGCGTCCTCCGACCCCTCCTGTCTGTTCATTTCTGATGAGTGGGATCGCTCGCTGGGGTGAGGGGCTGTCGTGGGAGACTTGCGATCTGGCGACGGCGTCCTCCGCCCTGTTATACCATCGATAGGAAGGTTAGCCGGTGAGGAACATGCCGGGAAGAACACATGGATAGTGGAGACTCTCTCCGACCCGACAACAGCGAAAGACGTCCTGAAGCCTGCTCGAGGCAGGGAGGTTTCATAGGTACGAACTGGGAGGCCAGCTTTGCCCTGAGCGCGTCTGCCACAGAGTGGACTGAACTTCCGTCGGACACTAGTGGCCAGAGAAGGCCGGGGGACGGGCTTTGATATGTTCACGAAGTTGCATACAGGCTACTGACTGCTGACTACAGACTATCGTTCGTTCGGCTACTTTGAGTTAATATCGATCTCAAGACTTGAATTTCGATTCTCTTGTCGTTCGATTGCTTGTCGGATTCACAGCCTACTCGGAAGGCTTGGCGTCGTTGAGGCATTGGTTGCGGTCGGTGTAAGTCACACAACCCGGGTCCTCGATAACGAGACCATGTTCGTCCTGGATCGTAAATATCGCCTCTCCGTCGACCCAGTCTTCGCACGATTCGTTGATGCAGCTGCTCCTGCAGAGCCTGCTTCGAGTTTTGGCCTTACCCTGCAGGTAGCGCACGGTCGAGGTTCCTCCCTCGCCTGCATGGGCCTTGCAGTGCGATGTCGTGCTGCCCGACCAGCCTTTGGTCCAGAAATAGCCGAAGTTGAAGCCGGCGTTACCCGTAATATCGTTTGCGAAGTCGCCAGCGAGGGAGGCGTCCATGCCATAAGAGATGGTTTCAGAGACGGACCACGACAGTTCGTGGTCCATGCTGCATTCCTCGTCGCTGTCAAAGCATTCGAGGCAGGAACCGGGGATAGTCACCTTATCCGACCAGTCGGGCGGGTCCGTGTGGGTAATTTCCCTTTGCTGATACTGGGCGTTGGGACACGACCCCGTGCCCTGTCGTTTGGCGAGATGCGCATCGTGTGGCTGTACGATTTGGTATACAGTGTTGCTGGAGCGCAACGTGTCACCTGTCTTGGCAGAGAGCAGCCACGAGTTCAAGGTGCGGCGTTCCACCATGGGGTAGTCACGTTCAATTGCCACACCGAGGGATACAGGAAGGAGCAAGGAAAGGAGGAGTGGGAGGTACATGTTTGATTAGAGGAAGTTATGGCAGAGAGTGTCGTGCTTAAGAGTGGTGGGATGAGGGAGTGCTTCGAAAGACCAGCTAGGTGCCATCACCCCTCCTTTTATACCTTGATCACCGACTGTTCTGCTTGCATCATTGCAATGCACCAACCCCCGGACTACTGACAGGCCCAAAGATATCAACCAGCCGACTGCTCTGATCTCTGATGTCATGCAGGCGTCAGCCGGGCGCGATCATTCGGAGCTCTATCCCGCTGGCTGTGGCACAAGCTGCGAAGTTCGCAAGCTCTACTTCGCAACACATCTGCGGGCCAAACGGGCTGAAGCACCCCGTCATTCCAGGTGCCACAGCACCGCCCTTCTCAGAAACTCCACCTGTTGTCTGCATGGGCTCCAATGACTAGATTGCCTCCATCGCTCGAGCCCGAGCAGACCGTACATATCAGCGCATCGTTGCTGGGACGGGCTCACCCGGGATATCCCCGCTGCTCTTGGCTGATGTCACTTCCGAGATAGCCGGCCTTATCAGCCCGCGATGCGACGCTATGCGCCTCTACCGTGCGCAGCATGTGGTGCCCACGGGGGTCAGTCCCCGAATCCAATTGCTCACGAGACCAGCACATGCCTCGCTTTACGAGAGAAGCAGAGTTGAGTTACGGGATTGATGCACTCTCCTCTTGAACGAGTAGACGACTCGGCAACCCCGGCGAAGCGTCCGGGCACCTGGCTGTCTCATTCAGCTCCAAACGTTCGCTTCAAGCTCAGACAAGCCCTTCGACAACCGATCAGAGCTCTGTTTTTCCATCAGACGGTCAGCTGCTCAGAGGAAGGCTTCTCTCTCGTGCCATGAAACTGTGAAATGTCGGGGCGGGCTCACTCGCTTTGCCCGGTTTCGGTGGTCTGCCCGAGAAACGGCGATCGCAACCTGGCCGCGTTGGAGTTCTGATTGCCATTGCTCCACCTCGTCCAGCACTTCATGATCACCTTGGTTCTCCGCTCTGCGAACCTGGTGCCTACATTCGCTTTCGACGTGCAGGGCGCTGTCATATGCTTGCGACGCCGTCTGTCACCTGCTCCAACCCTCGGCCAATGCGGCCGCATTCCGGAGCGAGGGTATTCTTTGCCCTCCCCGCTAATGACCACAACGCACCTTGACGCAGTGACGTTGTGTCGCTATCTCATGACCATATCATTCCGTTATATTGGACATGTTCACGCTGGGGGCCGAACCCGAAGGCGGCCTTGGGGCACTTTACCGAAAGCTTCTGTCCGAGACCCGGGGAGATGCCCCCTTCCGCCACAACGCCCTAACACTAAACACCTCCAGACGAGCCTTGATCCTACTCCCTCACGATCTTAGCACTCTTCGCCGCCGCCGCACACCCATAAGTCGGTCGCGAGAAGCTCTGACGTAAGCCCGCATAGCACAGTGGCAGTGCGTTCCTCTCGTAGTGACAGCTCTTTGGTCTTCCTCAGTCAACAGTCTCGAGCTCGTAAGGAAAGGTCAGTGGTTCAATCCCGCTTGGGGGCAATGCATGGGCGCTTCGGCGCGCAGCGAGCGTCTGTGACAGCAGTTCGTTGGCTTTTTGGAAGTTTTCTGGGGTGTTGGACGAGTAGGAGAAGGGACGAGATAACTTTGTCAGGGTTGCCGCCGACGCCACAGCTTGCTTGACAAGTCATGTTGTGACATCCCTCGATGTCAGGACTGCACTACATGCGGACCGTGCAGTGTCAGGGCAAGCTGTTTCTGGGAGAGACCGTCTGCCGCCTATGGCGGGCATTCCGTTGAACCCGCAGGTTCTAACTACTTATAAACGGGTCTAATGAACAAGACTGGGGGCTAAGTCGGACGTCAGCCTCGAATAGCTCAGTCTAACGAGGCTAAGACTGCACGTTTCGTTATAGCGATCATGTGGGCCCGCATAGCTGATAGAGCGGCTATGTTGACTGTCTTGAAAGGTTTGCTTCTTGACTGGTAGCGGCTTGCCGACGCTCAGTGGGTTAAGGCAGCTCTTTGTGGACGAGATGACGCAGCCCATGGTGGTCAAGTCGACAATGCAGGTTTAGCGACCTAGTCATGTCTTGAGCTCTTGGACAGTCCTCCAGATCACCTGGCCATGTGAACATCACATGCTGCGCACGGAGCTTCGATAGTGCCAACAAAGGGCTCTAGTTTCGGGCATCTAAGCCCCGTGGGCGTTCATTCATGTGCCAATGGTCCACCGTGAGACCGGGCGTGTCCTCAGTGCGTGTCTCGTGATCAGCGCTCGGCGTCCGGTACGGAGGCAACGGTGCAGTGGCTCAGTAGCCGCCGGCACTAAAAGACATGGATTCGGACAGGCGATCCGATGCGGTCTGTGGCACTTCACCGTTCTGATTCCCCACGAGAATCGTAGTCAGTTCGTTAGCGGTATGAATGGGCTTTGCGCAAGCCATGGGGAACACGGGTGCTAGCCCATGCCCGTCGCCTCGGCTTGTCATGTGCTGTGCATGCGAAGAAGCAAGCGCTTACTTGCTCATTAGGCCGCAGGTGGCCATCCAACGGTGGGCTAACGATGTAGGCATATAAACGAGGGCTAGAACATCGTGCCAACCTACAGAGCCTTGTTGCTTTCCAACTCTTTGCGACTTCCCTGCTTCCTCTCTCTGAGATCTACCTCGCCTCCTACATCTAGTTATCATGCTCGTACGAACTGGGAGGCCAGCTTTGCCCTGAGCGCGTCTGCCACAGAGTGGACTGAACTTCCGTCGGACACTAGTGGCCAGAGAAGGCCGGGGGACGGGCTTTGATATGTTCACGAAGTTGCATACAGGCTACTGACTGCTGACTACAGACTATCGTTCGTTCGGCTACTTTGAGTTAATATCGATCTCAAGACTTGAATTTCGATTCTCTTGTCGTTCGATTGCTTGTCGGATTCACAGCCTACTCGGAAGGCTTGGCGTCGTTGAGGCATTGGTTGCGGTCGGTGTAAGTCACACAACCCGGGTCCTCGATAACGAGACCATGTTCGTCCTGGATCGTAAATATCGCCTCTCCGTCGACCCAGTCTTCGCACGATTCGTTGATGCAGCTGCTCCTGCAGAGCCTGCTTCGAGTTTTGGCCTTACCCTGCAGGTAGCGCACGGTCGAGGTTCCTCCCTCGCCTGCATGGGCCTTGCAGTGCGATGTCGTGCTGCCCGACCAGCCTTTGGTCCAGAAATAGCCGAAGTTGAAGCCGGCGTTACCCGTAATATCGTTTGCGAAGTCGCCAGCGAGGGAGGCGTCCATGCCATGCCTCGACCTTGTCTCCATTTGTGACTTCTGGGACCTCTAGCAATGCGGCCGTAGTGCTGCCCGGCGGCGAGGCGGTCGAGACGGTTGACGGGTCCAAGCCCAGCTGCTCCGCTATGAGCTCTTCTGTAAACTGGCCCGTCTTGTTGATCGTAGAGAGCGCGAGGTAGTCCTGGGAGAATGTCAGCGGCGTCCAGTGCAGGAGGACAGACGGCAGCGACTTACCGGGAAGAGCGCTGCAAAGGTTCGCGAGTGGACGATCGCCTTAGCGCGCTTGACGACACTGAGAGTAGTTAGCGACGGCAGCGATAACACCGGATGTTTGAATGCGCTGGGACGCTCTAAGTCTGCTCCGCCCGGACCAGCAGCTGGAGTTGCTTGACGACCGATCGGAATCGATCCGACAGCGTTCGCAAGGGATGAGTGGCGG